GGGGGGGAAGTGGGTGATTTTGAAAAAAAAATTCCCTGCAAGCGCTTGTTGGAAGAAAAAAATTGCATGCAGCCCAAATGTAACAGAAAAATAGAGCATTTAGAACGGAAAAAATATCCTGCCCACTGCCCAGGAGATTGCTAGAAAAAAAATTTCTTGATGACCAGAAATCACCCACCCCCCTTCCCTCAAAAGTTAAATGGTCGACCCCTGAGAGACTATCTGTTGAGGCCAATTTCCACCATCAACTCAGTTGATAAAACCATATTACCAGTTTCTCACATAATTAGCATCGCGCTCTGTGGTGAATTATAAGGTAACCATTCAACAAACAAGCAAATGGGCTTGCTTTTTACTTATCTCACTGTCTTTTATCTATGTGAATATTTTTTTTCTCATCATTCTCTGTCAAAAAGTTACTCTACTAACAAAACCAAGTATAAGGTTGAGTCTGTTTCTTATTAAGGCATGCTTTCCATATTTCCTAACGATATTGTCAAAACATTTTATTCTAGCAGACTTGCAAAGCCAAGATAAATTTACATTACGCTTTGGAACAGGTTTACACTTAGATAGCTCTAAACGATCAGTACCTTTTAAAATTTATCATCGTTTCCAAAGCGTGGTGACAGGATGCTGACTGTAACAATTTTACTTCTGATGTGAAGTATAAAATGTCCTTTGTTATTCGTTGGCGTTTTATCAATTATCCATTTGTAAAAACGTCTACTCTCGCAGAATGATCATTCGACTATGCTCTTCACTTGTACGGTCGGTGGGGACTAGTGGAAGGCGTTTAATCGGCAAAGACGGTCCAAATATTGGGAGTTCAAATCTGTTGTGACACTTTCCGGCTTTTTTAGGTAGCAAAACAATCAGATTTTGTTGTTTGTTGTTTTTATGGCTAGCTTCTAAAAACACATCTTGAGAAAAATGGTCATTAAAGACACTCGCTATCGGATAGATAGATAGATAGATACATACATACATACATACATACACACACACATACAAACATACATACATACATACATACATACATACATACATACATACATACATACATACATAGATAGATAGATAGATAGATAGATAGATTATTTATATAACTTTGCAACCCAAAAGTTGAATTACGTCATATTTACATGGTAAAAAAAAAAATATATATATATATATATATAAAATTGTGCGAAATTGTCGTAAATGCTGCTAGAAAGTGCTCAATACAATACACATGAGTGTAGAGCGAAATACAATTCAAACGGACTGCCCAAGATGTATTTTCGATCTCGGGGTTAGCTTAGGGTTTCATTCGCAAACTCCGGGATTATTTTGCAATCCCGCATGTTCAAGCAGACAATAAGAGATGCGCGCCTCCAAGATTCACTCTTTACTTTTAGAGCTCATCGATCGCACAAGCAGATTTATCTACTTCAAATTCAGTCAGTGAAACTACAATGCTGTCATTATTACCGATTCTTTATTGAACGGTTTGATACAGTGGTGTCCGGTCTTTTCGTCCAACAGTCTTTTCGTCCAAGTCTTTTCGTCCGAAAGTCTTTTCGTATAAGTCTTTTCGTCCAAAAGTATTTTCATCTTAAGTCTGTACGTCTAATTGTTGTCTTTCCGCAGAGCAAATAAATAGCTATTATATTGTAGATAAGGCTATATAGAGAGGGATTGCCCGCACTGATCCCGGGCATCAAAAAAAAAAAGAAAAAAAATTGAATTAGAAGTATGTTTGTAATTCATGGACAGTTTCTACGATGGAAACGCAAAACGGGGCAGAAGATAGTCAAAACAAAAAAACAGAAACGACTCTCGTGAGTTTGTTATGCTACAAACACAGTGTTGGCTTTCTTTCCCGGCTCTCGAAGTTAAACAAGTCATTCTTAATTCGGAATAAAGCGAAATCTCTTTGAAATATAGTAAATCCTTTATCAACCAAGCTTGTTCGGTTAAGATGGCTGGATAGTTGCCTCGTTCTTTACCAGCATTTTTAAGGACCTCGACCTCGTCTCGGTACATAAAAATGCAAAAAGAGAACTCGGCCAATATCTAGCCACCTTGACCTCACGCTTGGTTCATAACGTATATATATATAAAACAAAGAGAAATAAGAGAAGGAACTTAAAATGGGCTGGAACTCTTTCAGTTGTCATGTTTTATATCAATGTTTCTGATCATGTTTCATATAACTCTTCAGGACTTGTCCAACTGGGCCGTTGGATGGGTGGACTGGAACATAGCTCTCAACATGGAAGGAGGACCCAACTGGGTGAAGAACTTTGTTGACTCTCCAATTATTGTAGATGCAGAGAAGGGAATTTTCTATAAACAGGTATAACTTTAGTACAATTTTTCATTTTCACTCCAGAAATTATAACTTTTTAATTAATTTATGATCATCTGTCAAGAAAATCGTCTTTTAGTTATGGCCAATGACGAGAATATAAAATTCAAGCATATTGTGCAATTGTGAAATGATTGGAAACAATGGGATTTTACAGAATCCAATAGAAGGAAACCATGCAAAAATGAGCTTTCAGTCAGTTACACAACACTTAACAGACAGTGATGATAATAATGATAATGACAATGACAATTTAGATGAAAATCAGGAAAATGAAGATAAAAATGACCTTGGAGAGAACAAAATGGTAGTCATGCTAAAACACACCACCACAATCCCTTGCATTTATCTTTTCTTGATATTTTTTATTTCAGTAATGATTTTTACTACCATTTGATAATGCTATATTTTGTGGTAATTATTCCATTACAGCCAATGTTTTACCATCTGGGACACTTTAGCAAGTTTGTACCCCCAGGCTCTCAGCGAATTGAGGTTACAGCAAGTGAGAAATCTTTCCTTCAGTTTATTGGTTTTACTACTCCAGCACCATCCACGTCAACAGTTGTTATTATACTCAACACATATGACCTTGCAGTTCAACTGCAAATTCATTCTCAAGATGGTACTATCAACGAGACTGTACCACCATCTTCCATTCAGACTTACATTTGGTAGAATTAGGTACAAGATGGGTAGATGAGTTTTGAAATAGTTTGTACAACAGAGCTTTGAATCAGAAAATTCTTTAGATTGAAGTTGAATGGTTCCATCACAATTTTCAAGAGTTCTACAATCACCGTAAAACTGTTTTGGGTCCGTGTGAAATGCATAACAGAATGAAATGAATCGCAATCTGCTGATCCACGGAATTGGGAAGCTTTAACATCAAGACATATCCAAGAGAAAACTAATTTAATCTGCTCATGAGTCAATTAAATAAAGTAAATCAAATAAAACTGAAGGAGGAAGTAGACTTCTGTATGAACCCTGAGGTTTTACAGTTTGTGAGCATCAAAAGTTTCATAAAAGTAAAATAGAATAAGAAACAGTTTATGATTGACTTTGCATCTTATTTTTCTGGATGGTTTTACATTTATAATTGTCTTCTGCCCACAACCACAACCAAAACCTGGTAGTTTTAAGCTTGGCACACATTAAACAACATGTTACAAAGCTATGAAATGGAATGGCAGTGGATTATTGTAGGCTTGATGACATCGTTTCATGGATGATAGTAAACTTCCCCAAACGTTTGCCCTCTTAAAGAATGAATGACCTTACTGCATGATCTCTACAATGTAAACAGTATACACCCCTTTCATAAATGGCTGCCAAATTAATATTCTTTTGTTTAAATTTTATTTAAATTAGCCCTTCTGGCCTCACTTGAGATAATGTATTCTTTTGAATTTTACCAGAAGGGCAAATTAAAATTTAAACAAAAGAATATTAATCTGGCAGCCATTTATGAAAGTGGCCTATAGTCGCTGCAAAGTTCTGGATTACTTCCTGAATTTCAAGGTAGACCTTTCCAGTTCTATGTATCAAGCCTTGTTTACCAAACGTCAAGGCCCTAGCAGCTCATTATCCACTGATTCATCAGGTTCTGACATTTCAGCATCATCATCTTCATTGGAAGATAGATCTGATGTATTACTAGCACAAGCAACTTGGCTTAGGTCACCTCTATCTCCTTCGTGGTGTCTAAAAAATGTCCCTGGAAGAAATAGTTTGGAAGTGTCCTCAAAGTTACAAGATATTTGCAAGTGGTTATTGGTAAAAATACTTCATGAAGAATTTTAATGGTAATGGTAATGTGGGTCAAAATTGCCCACCCCCCACCAGAAAAAAAAAATCAAGTCATGTAATCAGGGCTTAACCCGAATGGTTGCCAACTAGCCACAGACTAGTAGAAATTCAGTTTTGGCTAGGGGTTGTCAATTTCCACCAGCCAGTTTTGCTAGTAAACAAACTGAAATTGTCATAACATCTAAGTTGTCACTAGCCACTTGGCTAGTAAGTTGAAAAGCTAGTACTGAGCCCTAGTAATGATTATAAAAAAGATGAGAATTGTTACTACATTATTTTATCAGTGCATTGGGATAATTTAATATTAGTTTATGTACTAAATATTTACAGATAATTACATTCAATGTAATTTTAAAAGAATGCTTTGCTATTTTTTCAATAAAGAATCAAATAGAGTTAAAAATAAAATAAAATGAAGAGAAGTGAATCAGATCTTGTGCAGACTTTGCTTTATCTGTCCATAGATTGTACAAATCATCATCATTGATGACTTACGTCTTTGTCTTTCTGTCATAGATTTTATTTCTTGCTGCAACATACTGTCCTCTGAAGCTCTTTCTGCTGGTGTTGGTTCAGACCTTTAGCAAAATTAAAAATTCATTTGGTGTCTTCAAAATATCAAGTGAATGATGCTGGGCAATTGATAGATTAGCCCTGATCTGACTTATTGCTTGCTCTGAACATTCCTCTCAACCTGACCGTAAGAGTGACCAACATCTTATTTCTCGACAGTATTGCTGCCGGCCAGATAATTAATTTAAGGTCACAGGAATAAAGTAAACGATTGCTAACCTAAGATGCTTGGATTGTTAAACAAATTCTCCTCGTGAATACCGAGACATGTCTAGAGAAATGTATGGAGAATATAGATACTGATGTTAGGATGTATGGGTTAGTGAATCCAGACAGCTTACGGAGGCTCGTACCAGTTTCCTCGCGCGGGGAACAGGTCACTCTTGTGTGACGTGCGCGAGAGAAACGTGCGAAAGAAGCGCAAGATCAAAAGATGAAAATTCAAAACAAAGATGGCGGCGGGTGGAATTTTTTCTACTTTTGAGAGAAGTTTACCTAAGAGCTTGTATTTGATGTGTTGAGCGGCTACTGTGAATGAAGGAGATAGAAATTAAGATAAAGAAGACGATTTTTGGAGAAGTAAAGGTTGCATCACTTCACATTTAAAAAAAATATTCAACCGATATGAAATCTTACGACGGTGAAAAAAGAAGAACTCAAGTGAAGGATAATCTACCTGAAGTGGAAGAAGACTTTGAAACTTAAAGGAAAATAATATGATATAGCCAGAAAAGGAAATCATCTTCTATCTACAAACACTACCACCTCCAGCACAATAGTGAAATGCCTGAACGCTTGATCGAGCAATTCAACGTCATCACGAAATGTAACGGCAAATTTGATTGCCTTGTTAATGAAATGTTGTATATTCGCATGCGTAAGCCAACACTGAACGTGCAAACGGATTCCATCCGCGCCAAGGTGTTTGTTTAAACCGTTCAGTCTAATTTATGCTATTCTTGTACCTTTCCTTATTTGCATGTTTTTAAACTAGTCTCTTGATAATGGAGTCACGATGACCCCGAAACGTCGAGTAATAAATCTTTCCTGATAATATTTCTGACGTTTTTCTGGACCTGTATATGTCGCTTTTAAGTTTTGCTTTGTAAATTTTGTTAGTGCTTTCAAAGCAATATTTTAATCGCAATATGTTAATTATGTTAATTACTGTTAAAAGGAACCCGCTCCTTAACCTGGAAAATAAACAGAGCCAACAGTTTTTTTTTTCTTTATTTTTGCGAGCAATCATGAAAACATCTAGTGATACGCGTCGATAACTTTTTGGCGGATGTGTTTATCGTCTGGAGTCGTTTCCTTTTTGTTGCGAATTCGTCAGATCGAAAGTAATTTGGTGGACTAGCCCGAAAATTTTCCTCGCTCCCAATGAGCGGTAGCGTAGCTTCTTCTCTGCAATAGTTGTAATTGCTTTTCACCGCCAAGGGTCATAAAAAAAAAAAAAATTATTAATTTCTGAATTTAACCTAACTTTTTGACGTATTATATGTAGTTTCGTATGATGCACGATCCTCGCAGTAGATAGCGCTATTTAAGCAATAGCGAAAATCAGACCTGAAAAAAATCAGGGGGTTACCGGGTTAGTTTTCGAATTATTTAAGCCACAAGCTAAAAAATGCGTCTGAATAAGCCTATGAAAGCGTTGCCATGGAAACTGCTAGTGACGAAGTGACAACTATTTTTGGATAACCAATGATTATATAATTCAACCGCATAAAAGTGTTCAACTGGCCTTGGTCAATCTTTCTGTTGTATTCTTTCAAAGTTACAAACCATCAAAAAGACGAATACTGGTACGAGCCTCCTTAATCTGAGGTCTGTTTCCAGGGATCCACATTAACAATAGCCCACCAGCAACAGACTAGTAGAAATTCTATTTTGGCTAATGGTTTTCGATTTCCACTGGCTAGTTTGACCAGCAAACAAACAGTAATTGTTGTAACATCTAAGATGTCACTAACCACTTAGCTAGTAAGCTGAAAAGTTAGTGTCGAGCCCTGGTTTCAGAAACCTATAGGTATGCTCTGTACAGCACAAGCAGTCACTTTAGATATGACTGACACTTACTTTGCTGTTATCTCTCGCACTTCCCCACATTTTTCGCACACCCCTGCTTGTTGTGCACATTTAGAACAAACTGTGTGATAAGCATGTTTTATTGTCTTCTGCTCACATCTCACACTAAAAGTAAATGAATATACAATCACTGATTTTGTTACATGTGGTAATAACAGGAATTTTTACTGAGGTGATTAATCTCAATCTACCTTCACTAATAATTCAAGCATCTATTTCCCATTGAAGTCACACAACAGCAATTGAAAAGGTATAAAGTATCATCAGTAAATACAATAAAAACATTCGGTACGAATGGCTCTTAGTCACCAGCGGCTACTGGGTAATACCTGCATGGATATATGTGGTGCCACTGCTTTTGACCTGAAATGCACTGTTCAGAACGTTTTGCACACCCCTGTATTGTAACCTGGAACAGCAAGCTCAACATTCAATAAAATTCATCCCTTGAGACAAGCATTTTCATTAGCTTAATTTAAGGAGTTACAGGCTCTTTTCATGAAAGGAAATTTGGTTCAGGTCATATTTTGAAATAAGACTTTGAAGGGAGCTAGGACCTAGGTACCCTGAAGAGGGTACAGAAAACTAAGCGAATGCCTGACGAAAACCATTTCCTTCCGAAAGAAATTGTACATAAAAGGAGTTTACCATTTCTTAGGCGCTGTGAGAGGCTTGTATTTCTTAAATTTCTTTCTCCATTCTATGATCTCTCGACATCTTGAGCAAACTCCGCCAACTTTCAAACTATTGATTTGCTTTGTCTTTTTGCTAGTATCGTGAAGATTGTTCTTGAAAGCTTTTTTGTTTTGATGCTTCTGGCCTTTTTTCGAGTTATTTCCCTTATTTGTGCTCATTTCCTACGATCAATTCACTTAAATTTATCCCAGCTTATGTACAGTATCCCGACCAGTATCCCCTTATTTCACTCATGTGCGCTAAGTTACCAGCGGTGTCTCTGACAAAAACAAACTCAACTAGATATCTGCGCATATAACTAGCTTTGAAACAGCTGACCAGTTAACTACAATATGGCGGACGATGTGCAGGAGGGCACCTCTAAAGTTCATATTTTTACTGCCCCAAATTTATGCTTTGATTGCTTTCAAAGAGGGCCAATAGAAGAACGTAAAGGTAAGTTTTCCATTTCTTTTTTCGGCCCAGTGCTAGCTAAAGATCGAAAATGTTCAAAAATCCCGCTTCCATTCTTCTTTTCTGTGATTAATTTTTCCATTGGAGTCACAATGCAAGTTTGATGGAGATGTCGTTACTGTTCTTGATATTGGAGTTGACATTTGTTTCCCCTTTACGTCTCGTAGAAGGTCACCTGAATGCTAATAATAGCTGGAAGCAGACAACTCTTAATTTGAACGAAAACTCAATCGTGGTCTGCGATCGGAAAGACTACAATCATGTCGAACTCACTGACGATAGTGACGTTAGACTTGAGTATGACCCACTGGCAATACAGGAGTCGGTTTGTTTCTACCTTGAGAGTGAATTCAAGAATTATGAAAACTTTAGCTCTTCCTCGCTCACTCAGTCATGTGGATTTGACGCAGAATTTCACATAACTGACGACGAACATGTCTCTTCAAACAGCGATGTCCTTCAGAAAGAATTCGAAGGTATACGATCTGCTAGTCAAAAGCTACTTGTCGACAACAGTGACGAAAGTTGCAACAGTTCAAGTGGAGCTATTGATCATGATAGCAGGGGTTTTAAGAAGAAGGCTGAGGAATATCAGAATCTTCATCACGCTGATAAACGTACACATCAACTAACAATGGAAGATATTTACACTCAAGAAATTTACTTTTCTTCAAGTGACAGCTGTAGCCCAGTTAAGAAACGATCCAGAATTCAAAGCGTGGTACCGATCAGCTCTCTAGGGAGTTTTAATGGCTCATTGCAAAGTGACAACATCTCTCAGGAACATGGCTCCTCTACATGTGTTTTGATGGTACCCAGAGTCAGTGAAAACCTCACTCTGCTTAGAGACTGTACCAAGGAGAATTCTATCTTAAACGTGCTCTTTGTTGTTACCCAAGTGAATGACGTGCGCGATGTTCAAATCAAATCAGGTATAAATGCCGGCAGTTTTGTCGCTCTGGCCTCGCTGGTCATCGCTGATGAATCAAAATCTCGTTTTAAGCTAACTTTATGGAAAGAGGCGTCCAGATGGACCGAGAAAATAACTCCAGGTGATTTTGCTATTGCAACTTCTATCAAGATTGGGAAATGGCGCGAAGAATATGTTGGACAAACAACTTTTAATTCAGGGTTTTACAATCTTCATCAACCCAAAGCAACTCTTTCAAAAGGTTGTTTAAAATTAGTTTCACAAGTACGGCTTGATTCCCTTGTGAGGTGGGTCAGATCAGAACATTCATACCTTCTCGCTGGGAACAACTCAAAGAAAAATGTTGAATTTACAGAAATTACTCATCTTCACGATAACACTTTAGTTCACTTCAGAGGCAAACTGATCAGTGTTCATGAGGCTTCGTCATCATCAAGTACCTATCGCTTTGATGTGCAACGGCTGACCAAGGTATCGACAGGTAAGCAGTGCTAGTCAGCAGGATATTTATGTAATATAAACTACTGTAAGTAAAAGGTACATCTCGCCAAATTCGGGTTTGTTTGTGTGTGTGATATTTTCTTGATTGTTTGTTTCCTTGTATATTTCTTTCTAACTTCACCACTTTGATGACCATTTTATTTAGGATATACGAGCTACCTTAATGAAACGTTTAATATTTTGTGGCACGATGTAATAGTCAGGCTAAACAATCGTGTGTTTATCGCGATCAAGACACATTGAACTCATTAGCCGGACTCTTGCATTGTGAGACAAACGACTAAAGCTTCATTTATCTATAAAACCACGATGACCAACAACGTTTTCTATAACAAAAAAGCTACCTCGTATATGAACCATATTAAAACAAATATGTTTTGTACTGTGTATATGATTTGTTTCCTAGTTCTATCTGACCGCCCAAGCGAGGAAGTAGAGCTGTTTTTGTGGGGAAGACAGGCCGCGTGGGAAAATCAGCTGCGAGAAGGACTCGGGCAAGTCTGGGAATTCCAGTTCCTCACGGCTAAGTTCAACAGTGACAGTGGCTGCATGACACTACATTCAACGCCTCGGTCAACAAAGTACAAACTGAATCCGAAAGACAAAAATTCCCAATGTTTCATGTCACGATTTAACGGAGGCGGCAAGGAAACAACTAAATTCGTAAACATAAGAGACCTGCTAGAGTCAAAATACACTGGCCTTGCTGAATTCAATGCGAAGATTTCATCTGTTCGTTTTAACTGTGCAAATGAGGTCATCGTTGTGAGTCACGGCCAAATCGAATCCGCAAATACTAAACTGCGCGATAAACTCGCTAAAATAGTGTATATAGGCTGCGGGTCTTGCTCGCGTGTTCTTCCGCAAGATCAGAACAGCGTTTATGGCCAGTGTTCGCATTGCATTGTCACTGATGCTAACTATGAATACACGATTGACCATTATTACAAACCGCTGATCATTTGTTTAAGTGACAGTCACTTGTCTGTCGAAGTAGAGGCATTTAACGACGTCACAACTGGTCTCTTTAGAGATTTTCCCGCCAAGACCTTATGGCAAAGAACAGCGAATGCGTCGTCACGTGATAGCAGTTATTCAGATGGTTTCCTTGAGTGCGTTGGTGCCTTGGTCAAGGGGGAAATTTACAAGTCGATTGTGGCCTGTCGTATAGAACTCGACGAAAACAGTTTTGTCGAAAACAGATATTTCACTCTTCGGGCAATCCATTCCTTGTGAGTGTTTGTACGAAATTATTGAAAGTTGTGATGCACTTGGGAATTCTTTTGCAACTCGCCTGACTCTTTTTTGTCACGCTCATGCCGCACAAAGAAGGCCTTTGACAATGAGTGAAATTCCGTTTTCGACAAATCTGTTTTTAAGATCTCTCCGTGACTTTGAGGGAAACAACTGCGTAAGGTGCATGATGCTTCACCTCTCACCGTTTACGTATCTCATGACGCAGTTTTTTGTGTTCAGGATATTTCCAATTAAATCCCTATTATCACGATTTTACCTTACTTTCAATTATTATTCAGGCAAAAAAAAAAGAAAAACAATAAAAAACAGTGATTCAGTGGATTGGAACGTTTTCAAACTTTTATTCTTAAAATGGCGCTGCGCGCCAGGTCTAAAAATAGATATGTCATCTTTGGACACCCCCGCTGGTTTAGGACAAACACTCGGAGTCTTTACAAGGGGTTGTATGCGAAACGTGTCTGAAGTAAGACTATTTTCGCTCAAAAAATGCTCTAACTTTCTAAAATGGTTGCAACTAGGCATTGCTGTTGGGGTACATGTAAAAATGACTCAAGATATCAGAAAGATTGCCAGATTCGCTTAAAGAACTGCTTGAACTGAAACGGTCGGAAAGCCTTCATACCGCTCCCAAAGCCGAAGCACTACTTGGAACTTTGTCAACGCTGGGTAAATGCGTGTTCTAGAAAGAATTTCTCAGTTGAAAGTGTTAACTACAATACTTAAATCTGTGCTGTACACTGAAATCCTTGACAAAAGCTTTTTCAAACCGCTTGTTTGGAATCGTTACATAGACGACATCTCGCTATGGAGTACAAACAAAGCAACAATAGAACGTTTCATTGAAAAAGCAAACAATCATCATCCAACAATAAAATTTGCGGCAGAAATTCCGATAAGGAAACAACCTTCCTGGACACCTACATCTATAAAGGCGAACGATTCGAAAAGGACGCAATCCTTGATGTGCGTACTCATTTTAAACAAACTGAGACATTTCAGTATACACACTATAGTTCCTGTCACCCACAAGGAGTTAAAAAAGGCTTCATAAAAGGAGAGGCTCTTAAACTTCTCAGAACAAACTCCCCTCAAACAATATTCGAGGAGAAAATTACAAATTTCAAAGCGCATTTGCTAAAGAGAGGCTACCTAGAGGCCCTTATTGACACAAGCCTCTCAGAGGTGAATTTCAAAAACAGAAAAACTAGCTCTTCAACAGAAACCGAAGGCGAACCAAAGAATCTCGCCTTTTATTACACAATACCAACCATCAATGCCAAACCTAAAGCAAATTCTCATGAGACACTGGCATTTAATAGAAATACAACCAGTACTGAGCGAACTTTACAAAATCCGCCACTCGTGTCTTAAAAAAGAGGGCGATCGCTCAAAGACATACTCGTGAGGGCCAAACTTTGAATAGCCTGTTCTAAACACGCGCTGGGGAGTCGTGTAGGCCTGTCAACCCCCTTTTTACATTGAACTGTTAGATCCTTAAGTTTCACAGGATCGACTTTACTTTTCTTTAGTATCTTCAATTGTGTGTTTGTATGGTTCTCTTGGTCTCGCTCCAACTTTGAGCCAGGAACACCGTCGTTTTGATTTGAAATACGAGCTTTAGAGGCGTTTGAACTAGAGATGGACGCATCATCGCCCATATTCATTTACCCGAGAAGCCTGTTTGTTTCTCCTAATCACTCTAGGGGGTCAAAATTTCGTGACGTCACAATCGCGCAGCGCCATTGTGCTAATTTGCTTACGTTTTTCATAAATGTTTCTTTAATAACTAATTTATTTGCTTTTGTCTTGGTTCTAAGTAACTACTGATTCATGACGCTCCATCATCTCTTTCTCGACATCCGACCTAAGATACGAAGTATCTGAGAAGTTCGTCCTTGTCATGAAAAAATAACTTCCATAAACTCTACGTTCCCGTGCGATTGATAGACAACGCAGTAGATCTTCGCTGACATCAAATGGTATCTTCTGCACAAACAACATGTTACGCTTGTTCCAGCCCAGGACCCAGCGTAGATCGCGAACACTTATCCAACATATTTGCCGCACCCATTTTCCGTGGCATTCATAGTTCGCTTCATCTTTTTCTTTGTCAAACCAGTCTATAGCACGCATAACAAACTCGGGCTGCAAGCCAATGACCCCTCCCGGAACTCCGGGGTGTTGTTGTAAAGAAGAGTAAAAGGTTTCCGGTGGACTCCTCGTATCCGACAGCCAGTCAATAAAATCGCGCGCAGTCTGGTTAAATATTATATACTCCACAAATCCTTTTGTAAGCCCGACGTGGTTTGCACCCTTAAAAAGCGTAATGTTGTAGGGTGGTGGGCTTTTCTTTCGATAAGTCTTAACGGGTTTGTATGCTTTGTGGTCCGAGCCATCCATTCGTCTTTTGAACTCATATGCATACTGTGTGCGACGTTTTAAGTCGGGATGGTGAAAGCTTTGAATGTTGTTTTTACCGTTAAGAGCCCGTAAAGCGAGAACTAGTTCTCGATTGTTATACAAAGGAAAATCCTGGCCAACAAGGTTAATCATATACTTCCAGTCTTTACCAGTATACAGCAAGTCCTCCATACAATTAAACTGCGCGTGTAAGATACTGATATGCGGATAAATGACATCGACGCTTTTCTTCGCCAATAACACATTTGGTAAGCATCGAATCAACTCCGTGACGGCTGCACAAAAAGTTGGCGTGGACTTCATGTCAATGTGAATGCAATAAAGATTTTGAGGCATGTAAATGGCTTGAAGGAGTTTCTCTAGGAGCGAGGCTGATTTGTACACGGAAATCGAGAAAGCTATTGGAAATTCAAGTTCTGACTGCGTAGGTGGAGGATGGCTAAAATATTCTTGAACGATGGAGGGGCACTCTTTAGTCCTGTATGTTTGGTAGATATTGTCATCGTCACTAATCAAGGTTGTATTGCTTAGCTCGATCGAAGGATCACTTTGGATCTTCGCCACACATTCATTCCACTCTTTATTCTAACATCATAATGAAAAAAGCAAACCAGATCTTAGTCATAGTTTTGAAGTATCTATATACTTATCATCAATCACGTATCTTTTCGTTGTTCCAGAATAGTTTGTAGAAGTTAACTCTTTTTAACTCTTTTAAACCGTCTCCCAGTTAGCTCAATGAATAGAGCGCTGGACTATTGTGCGGGAGGTCGTGGGTTCGAGCCCCGGCCGGACCAATAATCAGGGTCTTAAAATAATTGAGAAGAATATGCTGCCTTTCTATAACATCAAGAAATGGTTAGATATTCAAGTCTTTTCGGATAGGGACGAATAAATGGAGGTCCCGTCTCCTGCAGGGTTAGGGGCAGGAAACGTTAATTTCCCACGCACGAGGTTACTCTCTGATGGATGTCCTCCCCTGGGGTGGGATGGGAAGTAACAGGACCCCCGTTGTTACCAGTGTTTACTACACTGAAGGGGCTAGCTATCCTGTATAAATGTAGATGTCTACTCTACTCTACTGATAACAATCGGTATTTAAGTTAAATGCTAGTGGCTCATGAGGCAGTTCTGAAAACTGCGCTGTCATTGTCAGGTGAAGTGGCAACCAAATTTGATTCCTGCCTCTTCCGTGAAGATGACTCATCTTATTTGTGACGTGAAGGGCCTCCGGAATTAAAGGGGAGACAATTTCCTCTCGTGAATGTTTTTTTTTTTTTCCCAAAAAAAAAAAAAAAAGGAGAAACTCTACAGATAGAGGGCTAACAGTTTATATGCTGTTTAGGTCTCTTTGTATCATTCCGGGAGAAAAGGGAGTATTCAAACGGTTGTATGTACTATTTGAAATGTTCAGCAAGCAATCGTGGACGATAATCCTACCCTTGTACGTTGGATCAGCAGTGATTTAATCGGCCCAAAGTAACGAATGTAAATATAGAGGCAAGACCGATACAACGTAGATAAGTTTTAAAACGGAGCACTATATTTCGGCTGGCCAAACCAGCCTTCTTCAGGTGCAGTGCTATTTGAACCTGAATGAAAAAAAAAAAAACACTACTTTTTCTTTTTAACTCAAAGGTAGCTATTATTGTTAACTTGCAGCGGCAATCAAATTGAAGAATTAGACTGTAAGATTTTGTCTTCCTTGTAAAGAGAAACTTAGAAGAGTGGATTTTTTTCTTGACTCATTCAACTATCACATACCTTACAATTGTATCTTAGGAAACTCAAGGACGAAAGTATAACCAAACCCGCAATGAACATGAACATTCCAAGATCTTTTTATTCCTGTTCTTTTCTGCGCAGGCGCATCCATGTACACGTAACACAACCATGACGTAACTTAGTATAATGTAACACAAGTATAACAAAACAAGGTCACGATATAACAACGATCAGTAAAACATGATATTAACTCACCGATTGATTTTTCTGTTGTGAGTAACTGAATTCTTGTCGAGCCATCCAGAAGGTTAGGATCACAGATAGAACCAGGAAGGAAGACAGCATTCGAGTCTTAAATTTACGCCGTCTGATACGAAATGGAAACATAATTTCCCTTTGTAGAGAAGAATCTGTGGGAAACAAAATGGTTCAAAACAACGCGATTCACACTTTATGTCTTAATAATTATACAAACTGTTTAAATGCAAAGATCGTGATTTAGAGAAACAAAAGGAATATATGTATGAGTACTGAAGAGAAAAAAGTTGTCATAGATTTTAAATCATTCTGTACTTTTCAATAATCAACCATACCGTCTGACATTTCCCGTGCGGAATACATTAGTTTTAAGTAATGCAGCCACGGTTTTATAAAACCGTGCATTTTAAAAAACGCATCCTATATTGTACAATACGAAGATATATTGTACAATACAATACGTACCGTTTTCCTTCATTTTCCAAGCTTTTAAACTCCTACTCACGGACACAGAATCTTCGGCTGACTACGAATATTTACTCTGAAGTTCCTGGTCGTCCCCATGAAACTTAATTAATCGCTAATTGAACAAGTGTCATAGTGGTTTTCCTAACAAAGTATTTTCAAGGTGAGATTTTTAAACCCGAATGGCGAAGGAACTTCAGTCACTTGCATTTCCTGGCTTTGTCACGCTTCGTTTGAAGCGTTCCGTTCATGCAAATGTTTAAAAACCATAAGGTCACCAATAAAACAAAGACGACTCGTATACTTACTTCAATTAAACCTCTTTCTTACATGTTAGATAAATCAGATCAAACTCCGAGAATAGAATTTCATCCGGCATTATTTGAGCTATCTTCTGCGTGTTTCATACGCATCAAGAAAGGCTCATTATTCAACTAGTATCGATACTATTTAGATGTTCCGCATAACTGAGTCTATATTCTCAAAAGCTTGGTCACTATATCAGTGGGTTAGATATTATGAAAATCTGACATATTAGCTTTCTCGAGCATCTAAACAAAAACATCAGGAGGCAGGGGCGTAGCAAGTCATTTTGGCTTATAAGCCTGTTCCATACCTCGCAAGGATAGTGCGGCCGGATAAGGTATATGTCCTTGCATGCATCGAGCCAGTTTGGAGATAATTGCAGGTTTTCTATCATCCAGAAAGGTCGAGAAAATCATTCTACACCGACCCTTCAAAATCACTGCGCATGATACATTCGGACAACAATATATAAGCCACGGTGATCTACTGCTATGGGTCTTCCTCTCAGGAGCTGACTGAAAAGCTCAACCAAGACCTCCTGGCTGTGGCGAAATGGCTGAATGAACATAAGTTAACACTGAATCTGGACAAAACCAAATGCATGCTCATAGGCAGTAACAAGAAGTTACAGAGGAAAATAGCTCTAACTGTTTCAATTTTTGATCATTGTATAAACAATGTTACTTGTTTTAAATATCTTGGAATCTTAATATCGTCTGATTTTTCGTGGACAAATCATGTCGAATACATGGCAGGGAAAGTTAATCAAAGGCTTGGCCTACTTAGACGCATTAAGCATTTGTTACCGTTTAAGGCGCGCATCCTTTTTTATAAAAGCCTTGTTATGCCCTTATTCGAGTATGCTGATTTAGTTTGGGGAGACAAACATAATGTAACTTTAATGTCTAGTTTGCAAGTGCTTCAAAATAAGGCGGCTAAAATAATATTAGATCGACCACTGTATTCCTCTGCGTCTGATGCGTTAACTACACTGAAGTGGTTAACACTAGAAAAAAGGCGCTTCCAGCGCCGATGCGTACATGTATATAAATGTCTTAATAGTCTCACGCATCACGAACTAACATTAGTCACTCAGCAAGAACAGCATAGTTACAACACAAGAAATAAAGCAAACCTCAAAATTCCATCCGTTAAAAGAAACTGGGGCAAACAAAGAACTGGCTATCATGCTGTAAGTGATTTTAACTCGCTGGACAAAACTATACGAGCCGCTGATAATGTAAATATTTTGAAGCGTAAGATTTTTAATTCATTGATTTAAGTTTTGTATTACACATAAGATACATTAGTTTTTAGTAGCATCTTTTAGCATTTTTATTCATTGTAAATTTTTAATTTTTAATTTTCGAGGTCCTTTTTGTAAACCACTTTTTAGTGAAAAAGTTTCCTCATTAAAGATTGTCATCATCATCAAGCTAGGAGGATTTGCTCTTTTTGGTGTTGTTTCTTTCGTTTTGTTTTTAGCCAGAAAGGGTAATGTAGGAGATTGTTTACATTTGTTCAGTTTAACAAAAAGTGTCACTTTAATTGAATTCGACCGTATTGCTTGTCCACTTAACAAAAGTTAACAGCACCAACACCTTGGACTGTTATAGGAGAATAAAGCAGGAAACATTTGCTTCAAATTAGAAGAAAGTCTTCCTGATTCATTCGGTCCATTAAGGCCTGGCTAAACTAGGAAACTTTGTTGCGGAAACATTGTTGCGGAGGCAAATGTTTCCCAGTTTAGCCGCGCGGGAAACATATGTTGCTGCTTGGAAACAAAAATTGTTTTTGCCTGCAGACAAAAACATTTTTGTTTCCCGGACACAAATTTTGCGTGTTAATATAGAGGCAGACCGATACAACGTAGATAAGTTTTGGGACGGAGCACTATATTTCGGCTGGCCAAACCAGCCTTCTTCAGGTGCAATGTTGATTAGTTTCCAGTGCCGCTCGCATATTGAAAAATGTTTCATAGCAACGGCGAGCAGATAACAATTTAAATGGCTGACTGCGTAGAAATTCAAGCAGGTCACGCTCAAAGAAAGGGAAAGGGAAGGGAAAGGAATTGGAAAGATGAAGAAATTGAAATGCAAATTACGCTGTATGAGGAAAGGCCTTGTCTCTGGGACGTGGGTCATAAGGACTACATGAACAGGGACAGTAAGGAGGTGGCGTCAGTTCGCAAATCGATCTACTGATGACAGAAAATTATATCAGCCGGGAGGATTACAAGAGCAAGTGGAAAATTATCAGATCACAATTTATGAGGGAACAGGCCCTAGAAAGAAAATAGAATTCCGGTCAACAAACAAGCGATGTGTACTACATGCACCCCTCTTGGAAGTGGTACAAGATGCGGAAGTTCCTTATTATTGTGCAGAATGCTACAAAGGGCTTTGATACAATGAAAATGTGAACATCCTATGATCCCCAGACTTCCTCGAAGTCAGTTTATTCAGACACGCATACAAAGCTCATTTGTTTTCGGAAACAATGTTTCCTCGTTTAGCCACTAGGGCAGCAAAACATTTTGTTTGTTTTCCGCTAATTTAGCCATCCCGGGAAACATAATAGGAAACAATGTTCCGCAACAAAGTTTCCTAGTTTAGCCAGGCCCTTATAATAAAACACCCAATACGTTACATCAGTCTAAAAAATCCCGACCGGCTTGTGGACACAGCTGTAAAACAAATAAAATTCATCAATGGTAAGTTTTGTGTTATTATGACATAGCTACATACATATTTGCCATAAATACATACATCTTTATTAAATCAATACATACAAATTCGAAAAAGGAGTTTTAAGGTTACCCTTTCACAACGTAGGGCTTAATTATTAATTTTACTTTGGTAATTGCACCGGGCAACCAAAACTTGAAGAACATTAAAAAGGCTTAACTTTTCCTAAATATTTTATAATTTCAGCGATTGTGAATGTTTATTCGGCAGGGTTGCTTATATTGCTTTAGCGTTGTTGTGAAAAAAATAACATTTCATTCACCAGATTCGTGCGTTGTACATTTCCTTGACGCTAACGGAACACTGGAAAGGTTTGATCTTCTTAATGAAAGAAAATTTTGCTCTTATTATTATAACAAGTAGTCGATTGTTTCCTCTTAAAATCAAGGATTTAAATACCACTCGGGTTTTCAGAAGTTGCCGTCTTTGCTGCGCGACTTGGGTAGTTTCTGCAACTTCTAAAAACGCGATTGCAATTGATATCCGTAGATTTACTTGGCTTTATGCGATTAGCTTCACATATTCGATCCTGTTCAAAGTTTAAAATAGAACTATCTTCAATCTTGAGTAGATAAGGTAGAAACTTTCAAATGCTGTAATTTACTTTCTCAGAAGATTTTTAAATGTTATAACACAACCTGTGGCCGCGATATTTTGATTAATTTGACGATAAAGGGGTTTTAAATCAATTTACAAATTTGATTTGAAACCCCTAAAATTGAATCAGTTACTAGCAAGTGAAGAGCTATTTAGGAACAGGAAATGATGGCAGTTCCAGGGCCGTTACCAGACTTCAGAACAAGACGAGGCAAGTTTCGAGCGCTGAAGGCGCGAGCCACTAAGGGGGTGTGAGGGCATGCCACCCCCCCCCACCCCCAGAAAGTTTTGAAATTTAGAGGCTCAGAAATGCTCTTTTAAGCATTTCATGTGGCATTTTTCTTCAGAAAAGTCAATCTTGGGAAAAATTAAGACGAGGAAATTGCCTCGTCTTGCCTCATGCTAGTTACGGCCCTAAGTTCTCATAAAGGATATTTTCTGGAATAGATAGCGCTTTCTTCCTTTGATCAACACGACCTCTGTATTTTCAGGCTACGCAACTAAAGAAATTTTCAAGACCTCCTAAATGAACATGACCTCTTAATGAAGTCCTGCAATAACTCTTGATTCACTCGCGCTTTATCCAAGAAAACGGTGATGGCTCCAAAAAATCTGACAGAAGCTGAACAAATACTCCTCTCGAAAAAAGGACAAAAATCGCTAAGATCGTTGAACCAGAGCTCATAAGAACTGCATTGATAGGCGGAATGATTCCACACTCTTTTCCATTGAATTTTTTGCCATCTTTCATTCCGAACTTTCCTCGTTGTCAAAGTTACCCACAACGAAATATTGAAAGTAAGAATTCAGAGTAACCGTAAATTAAGTACCAAAATCGTATATTAAATTCTACTTCGAGCATGGTAGGATCAGAGAGGTCACGTGTCTATGCGTAACAAGATGGAGACACATCTCACTGATAGAGCAGTGATTGGACCGATCATCATCTCCTCAATGAACCAGAAGGATGCTGGAGGAACTGTTGAAGTCTTATATGTAACTACGTGACACACTATCATTGTGGGATGGTTATTACTCTAAATCTTGCAAATAACCTTCATTCTTATCTTGAACATTCCCACAATCGATAATAAAAACAGTTTAAGTCGTTGTGTGGTAAGTTATTCACTTGTAAATAGATTCCAGATCGATTTCATTACGCGCATGCGTATTAAGGTCTGTGACGCTTTCAATAAAAATTCATGAAAAAATATATTAAAACGATTCACGATGTTTGTGTCAAGTTTTGGTTTGTTTGATTGTTTTTATTTTATCTTTCTCCATCGAAAGAAAAAAGAAAAAGAAAATTCTCTTCCCACAATTTATCACACAAAAGAAATCAAAAAAAAAGAAAAGGACAAAGAGGGGGAAGAATTAAAGGAAGTTAATGAAGAAAAATACTAAAAGCAAATACATGTACACAAACATAAACACAGAGATAATCGGAAATGAAGAAAACCAAACAAAGCTAACAAAGACAAAATTTAAAATCATAATTATGTAAATTGATCATTCAAAGTTTATTTTGTTCATTTGCTCCTTGGCCTAAACTTAAAACAGCAAAATCCCAACCAACCACAGAGAAAAATGCTTCACCTTTCTCATGAAATGATTAAATTTTGAATACTTTATTCCTCTATGCATTTTGTCAATGTACCAATGAAAGTTTAACATTTATACTTTAGAAATTAACAGAAAATAATCCCTGAAACTAATGATTTGTTTTCAAATCTGTTTTCTTCCATAGTAAGGTGTGTTACTTCTTTTTCAATGCAATTTATTCTACATTCATTTAAAATATATTTTACATCTGATCTATTCAAATTGCCATAAGTTATCTTAACACTAGGCTAGCACCAATAAACTCTGAATTTACCATAACACAGATTTACATAACAATGTACAATAACTATTTATAGAACTCTAGCATTAGTGATAAATATAATTCACAATAGGTGCACAATGAAACTCCCTTCAATTATCTGGGTTTAAGGAAGGAAACTACAGTACCCTCCATACTGTGGGCTCTGATTATACATTATATATATTAAATAAATTGCCAGGATTGATAAAGTATTCTTTTTATTATAAGTACTATTATGAATGATATTTGAAAGGTAAGTAGTTAGGTTTGTATCAATACTATTATACTGCATGCTGCCTGAGTGGTCGAGGTACTAGTGATAACCTATATCCAATCACTTCATTTAACTTTATAGTATGACATAATAGTATATAGTAAAATATAATAGTATATAATACTGTAAATAGCCTTCAATTGGAGTGAAAATATGTTCAGATATTTGCCCATGTACATTATCTGTTCCGAAATGCAAATAGCTTGGAGGAAAACCGTGAGCTGCAAAAAAAAAAGGTTTAAGTTCAAGGACAAACACATGAGCATAATTATTTTTGTGCAAAATGAAGGCTACTGTGCTTACTAACTATCAAAGAATTCTGCAACATGCAAAAAAAAATGTTTACCATTTGGTCCATGGAATTTTCACTTTCAATGCTCTCAGGTACCACTTTGTAAACAAACAAACAAGTCCCTTAGTCTCTAACAACAGCTAAACACCTTCTCACCTTGAATCAAATCTCAAACTAAGACTTATGGATGTCGGCTTTGAAAATTGGGGAAATAACTTGAGGTATATCAGTGGATATTCCCTGGTGCATACTCAGTCACATGATCTGTTCACATGCATTGTGTGTGAGAAGAAATAGTTGAAGGATTCTATAAACTCCTACATTAAGTATAATAATTTGTGTAATGTAAACTGTGAAATTTTGCATAATCTGTTTGTTTGCTTGCTGTTCTTTCTCTTGTCAAGTAAACAAGCATTTGAAGGTAACTTAAACACTTCACGCTACTAGATATTTTTCTGAAGTCCACTAGTGCAGTTTAAACAATCATACTTGTTGAGTAGGAAGAACAATTTAAATAACATTGGCTTAGTAGTCAAAACCATGTGCATAGAATCAAATATGAATATACTAGAAGTGTATTAACTTGTTACATAACTAATGCATTTTCCATCAGTGAGTCAGCACTAGCCTTCAACCTTTCTCTAAACTGCCCTGCTAAACTCCTTGCTGCTAAAGTAAGAATCTGTCTTTTAGAGGAACCTGGACAAAAAAAAAAAAGAAGAAAAAGTTAAAAATTGCTTATTTAAGTAAGACAAACAAGCACAAGCCTTTAAAATACTGGCACAGCTGCAACAAATACAGATGTTCTCACAGACAAGCCCCACCCATCATTTGTTGTAAAAAAACTTTAGGAAAAAAGTGCAACTCATCTGCCAGTGTTTGAAATGCTAACAGACAAATGGGTAAAATGGTTGAAATAGGGTTGGAAAGCTGAACAGTTCTGCCCAAAAATTGACTTAATCACATAATAAAAAAAAATATATAATAAAAATAAAAAATAAACAGTTTTTAATGTGGAGAAACACTTAGCTAGAAGCTAGTTTACATGTTTTCCACCAAACAACTGAAACAAATCATTCAAATTGAAAATAACATTAAGAATCCCCAACTGTAATATAGCAAACCAGTTGGCTATATTACAAGCATGGCCAAGGATTTGAAACTCGGGGCTACTGTGAAACGGATCCAGGGTGTGGCCAGGGCGGGACTTGAACCCGGGAGAAGCGGATCACAAGTCCGACATGCTGACCACTCGACCACACTGCCTTCACATCTCCAATGCAATCCTACCAGCCAAAGATGTTCTAAAATTTTGGGTGAAAAAACTTGCTAACCAGTTTTTTTCCTTTTTTTCTTTTTTTTTTTTTTTATGATAACTTTGCTGCAATTTCCATCATAATTATCTTATGAGTTTAGAGTATTTTTAACGCTAATTTTCTAACTAGGTAAATAATCCAGGCAGCTTATTTGAAGGAATCTTGTATTCTGCTTTTAGCTGTCATCAAATTGTTTGAATTGACTTGTTCAATGTAATTAATTTGGAATTTATATTGAAGTGCTTGTGACTTTAAGGTGTGATTCAGTGATTAGGATAAGTGTGATTCATGACATTATAAGGAGAAATTAGATGCTGATCACTCTTGAGTGTCAAAGTGTTTAGTAACAAGTTAAAATAAAATACAGCTGTACCTGATATTTTAGAATGCCAATCACCATGTTCTTGCCCAGACCCTAACATGACCTCTCCGAGAGTAAATGATAGGCCTGACCATCTTAAGTTGTAATTAGAGGGTGTGCTTTCTTCTGCTTTCTTGATATAAACACTGGGAATTTGGACTGATTGGGAGAATGTTTCAAGCTCTGTCTTTGAGGTTGGGTCACTCAGTGCCAGACATGTTAAACCAAACCACCTGGGAAAGAAACATATTAACTCATTACACAAAGTCTTGATTAAATTATATGTGATATGTGGAATTACAAATGTACTTTGATCGGCTCTTACTTGTGATCTATAGCAAGACAGTTACTCATCTAACCGATGTTATCAGAAGAGAAGGTGAGAATGGTAACCTGACAGGCTGTGTTTTCATCGATCTATCAAAGGCGTTTGACACCATCAGTCACTCTGGCCTCCTGAGCAAGCTTTCAACTTACGGAGTTCGTGGAACAGAACTCGCATGGTTCACTGATTACCTTTTCTGCAGATCACAAGTTGTCCAATATAAAGGCGTGCTATCAGAACCTCAACCCATTCTCACAGGTGTTCCTCAGGGAAGTATCCTGGGTCCTATCTTATTCATTATCTTTTTCAACGATGTACATAAACCGCTTCAACACTCGAAGATTATCACTTATGCCGACGATTCAGTCATCTATACCTCTTCTAAAGATATTGATACTATACAGAGAAGCCTTAGCGAGGATATGAATAACCTGTGCGAGTGGTTTAAAGACAACGAACTGATCATTAACCTAAAAAAGGACAAGACGGAGTCTATGTTATTTGGAACAGCTAAAAGAATCAACCTTCAAGACAAGGAACTTAAACTTTCTGTTAATGGGACACTCATCAATAACACCTCTACCTATAAGTACTTAGGTGTTCACCTTGACTCATCACTAAACCTTGCATCACATTTTGACCGAATCTATAAAAAAGCTGCAACCAGAATTAATCTCTTGCGATCAATTCGTCCTTTGATCGACCAAAAGTGTGCAGAATCGATCTATAACACTATGATCGCACCTATTTTTACCTATTGCGGAACACTTGGTCTTAGCTTTCCGGATTACCGAAAGGAAATGATAAAGAACATCGAACGACGAGGCTTTAAAGTTATTGGCAATAGTTCTTTTAATCCCCCATCCGTGAACAATTTGATCAAGCGTAAAAGCTGTTTGTTTGTTTTCGACTGTCTCCTGAATAATGTTTGCACACCCTTTAAGAACTACTTCGAAAGACTGGTTCATTCTAAGGCCACTAGGAATAACGGTATATCAGTGAAATTACCCAAAGTACGTTTAGAATTTGGTAAAAAGAGCTTCTATTACCAAGGAGCAAAGACTTTCAACAACCTGCCTGCTGAACTAAGGTCGTTAGATTCGAGACTGAAATTTAAGAACAAATTGCGAGATTATTTTAGTTAAAAAATTCGATCTAAACGTGGTTATAGGTATCCTTTTTCAGAGCAATTTATTTTATTGTATTGCTTTTCTAGACCTTAAGATCAATGATTATATCTTGTTAAGTTTTATTTTATTTATTTATTTATTATTTTGAAGGGACCCCAAGGACAACAGTGTTACACACTGATGGGTTTTCAATCCTGTATAAAAATTCGTTATTATTATTATTACTATTATTATTATTATTAAGGATAGATGACATCACCACTATCATCATTTTGCTTCAATAGAACTCATAAACCAAAGAGAATCGATTTTGTCATGAGTCTATACAGAAGCAAGTCACAGAAGATGTAAAATGCGGTAACAACACCAGCAACGCTCCAGGTTCATGTGCCACTTTTCTCTTTGTATCACATTTCTATGTCATGTGTGATATATTACTGAGCAGATGCACAACAACATGAAATCTATTTTTTAATGATACATCAAAGCAAGCAGTAGCCTACCTGCCAGGTAGCAGCTCTGACAACATTTCTTCCACTCCAATGATCACATGACCTTCCTGCACTTTCTTTCCGTGCACTAAATTGGCTATTCTATGCCGTGCACCCTTCACTCCAGCTGAAAACCCAATAGGGAGGGGGGCAATCCCAGATGTTGAGGAATTTGACTGCACTGAAACATGTTCAAAAACTTGACGGAATCCATCTTTTATTGCTTCTACAGCTTCTGTATCGGTGGTTGCTACAGCCAGGCTTATAGACTGTTCTCTTCTGTCTAATTACAAAAATGAGAAAAATAAAGATGAAAATACAAATTGAGGTAAACATTTACTTTATATCAATTATTCCTTTAACCCCCAAAGGGTCTCTAGCATCTAATTTCTCCTTACAATAACACGTACCCTGAATCAAACATTAACCCTTCACCAGGGGTTTCATCAATGCTTTCGGCAGAAGGGCAACTGGTTTTCACAGACGGGCAAAACTTTTTGAACTGAACTTCTTTATAAGATAAACTTTCCTCCAGATCATCAAACCAGGTGGGCAAAACTGTCCTCACAACTGGTCAATTTGCCTCAGGTGCTTAGCCCTTAATAAAACCCCTTGTACACATAATTTCTGCATCCTGTTCTCAATACATTTCCTATGGTTCTGACCAGGAAAATTTGTTCAGCAGACAAGAGCTTCTTCACAAAAGTGAGCATTACTTCCATTCTCACAACCTTAATGTGTGATATAGTCTGAGGTGATTTCATAAGGGGAAACTAGATGCTAGTTCTTTTAGGAGTCAAAAGGTTGAGGTCACAAGAAAAAGGAAATGATCACAAGCTAAAAAGAAGCTCTTGCTTATGAAAGGCTTTCTCCTTGTCAGCACCTTAATTAAGAAATCAATGGAGTACAGTATGAAGTATATGCAAACTAGTGTTTTGGTGTCAAGGGTTATGTGAATGATAAAGAAACTGGCTTGTACTTGTTTCCTTAAGTTTGTACTGCTACATTTGAAGGTGTATGTGCACATACTGCATGTTATCACATTTAATTCAGAGCAATCTTCAATTGGATGTCAAATATAGCCCAGGATTGCTTTGCTTTACTTTTACCATGTGATTAGTCTAGAGAGCTCATGCTTCTTCTTCAATCATTCACATTCAAAAAGTAAACTTGGTAACTCCTGTTTTTCCATGCTTCAACCAGTTTTTATGTTTTAATACATCAGTTCTCACTTTACCACTAACTGCTTGCAATATACTATTTTCCTTTAATTTGAATGCCATCATGATCCCTTTAGCTATGATTTTTATGATACTTGATCACTTGAAAAGCATCTTAATATAAATCAAGTTGTCTTTCAGTTTGATCACATGTGAGTTTTTGTCTTGATTCCACAGGTTACTGTTCCTACACGGCTTCTTTCATCAAAAACAGTTGGATAAAAAAGAACAATTCTTGGAAGATGATTGCTACCAGGGTTTACACACAGCTCCTAAAAATAGTGCAGAAGTTGAATCTGAGGTGCTTTAATTCAATAATTTTAATTATCCTATAAAAAATCTTATCAAGTTACTCACATAAATAGTCCTCCATTTCTGGATCAAGTGTTGTGATCACACTTTCAACAGAAGTCTGAAAAGAAAGACAGACAGTCAAGTTAATTTTAAAGATTATTTTATCTTCTAATCTAGCAATTACATAATTATGAACTTTGTAATGGGCCTTGCTCTCTATAGAGTCTCTGTTGCTCAGTGGTTGAACATCGGAGCACGGAATTCAATGGTCTGAGGTTTGATTCCTTGTGTGGGACTCAAATTTTTTTCTTTGTCCCTTGGGATGCTCATGACTAGACAAAACACATAACTGATCCTAAAAAGAAGCAAGACAAATCCTGCACTTATATGATTGCTTTTCTTGTTTTAAATGTGAGTTCTCCCCTGCCCCTTAGAATAGTTTGTTTGCTTTGGCTGGGCACTGTGAAAACTTTGTTTTAGCTTAAATGACACTTAATCAAAGAGCACATTAGTATACCGCACTAGTGTCTTGACAGTCAACAACCATCAACATCAGCCCAATGATATTGATACAACAACAGGCTGATATTAATACACTGGGTTTATACTGAAGTATGCTTTTGTGTAAAATCTTAAATCATTTAACGTAAATTTTTTTCGGATGTTTTTTAGTAAAAATAATAAATTAATTTTACACATCGTTATTCCTAATGAGGCTTCATTTTAAAATAGTTTTGGTCGATCTGGAATTCTATATAACGTAATAAAACGTACGATCAAATGAACTGTTTTCACTAATTAATATATTTTAACAATACCTTTGTTTTCTCCACAATATTTCTACCAATGTTTTGCGTTGTTTGTAATCCAACTGACATTGCAGTGGACATCCAGCCCCAAACTCCACCAGTTAAATCTTCATTTTCATCAGGATCCTGGTCAGAATATTGCCACGTTGATGAAGAAGTTGAAGGAACATTTACTGAAGTTTTGCCATTTTTATTTTCCATAAGATCACTCGCTGAATCGTCTGTGCGAATCCTCTGCTGAACAGGGCTCGTTACTTGGGTCACAGAGTGCGAATAAACCGAAGTGACGCCGGTTGAACTCGATTTTTTATCCCCAATGGTAACAGGAGAGGAGGAGGTGGACATTGTCCTTGGAGATGTCGAGTCGATTTTTACATAACCCTCGTCTTCCAATGCGCTTTCCACTTCTTTTGTAATGTCCATCGCAGGTTTTAAATATTTTTAGATCCTCTAAGCCTTTAATCACGGGTTCTTGACACGAAAAAATCGCAAAAAATAAAAAATGTATTCACCAAAAAGGATTGAGTCAGGAGAATTCCATCAACTATTGACCATGCACCATGGCAGAGCCTCGCTTCGAAGAGGAAAATAGTACAGAGCGGGGGAGGGGGGGTTTGAGCGAGTAATCCCAGGATCATACTTGGGTGACGCTACATCGAAGGCGTTCGTCGAGGGTAAGAGTAAACAGTAATTTTGGTCAGCGGGCAAATTATGAAACCCGCGAGTACGAGTATTGCGAAATCCCGCGAAAGGATGACATTTAAAAWCCGAAGACAATTTTTGACTAAGACACTAGAATGCGTTATGATGGCGACGACTCAGTAAATATATGAAAATAATATATGTTTACTGCGCTTTCATAAAATGTATGAAAGCGTTCTTCGCAGTAATAAACCCTACTTATCTAGTAGGTGGAAATAAGGCCTGAAAAAATTTTAGGTCCGTACGGGATTTGAACCTATGACCTCTGCGATACCGGTGCAGTCCTCTACAAACTGAGCTAACAAGCCAACTGGGAGCAGGTCATTATTTTGGTTCGTATTAAACCCGCCAATAAATTTGAATAAATGAAATCATATATGTGTACTGCGGTTTCATAAAATATACGAAAGCGTTCCTCGCTGTAATAAATTAACCCTATTTATCTAGTAGCGACTAAGTACTGTAGACATGACTTATTGACTTGCCCTGTTCTGCCAGCAGAAGAGCGAACATGATAGGCATGCAATGTCTACTTTCACCGCTTATAACAAGTGTAAAATTATTAAGTCATAAATGAAAAAAGCTGTTCGTTCAATTTAAAACGGCAGTCACTTTGAGAATAAAGTAATCCTTTAGTTGCCTGTCATTATATTTGTAGTGAAGTCGCTGACGCCAAAACGGGCTGGCTTTCTCTATCTTGGCCTTGCATCGAGCTGTTGCACTTAAAACAGAAGGTTGGGTACAAGTGCGGAATTCTCATTTGTCTCACGCTCTGCACCCACACGCGACATTTAGTTTTTAAGTTTAATACAGAAGTCACTATTCTCATTAAATCATGAGGTGTTAAGGTACGAAATATTTACCTCACAAGGTAACTAGGAAGGAAGTGCATTTTCATTCGTTTTTGTATATCTTCATCCTTTGCTCAGTGCGATTTTACACACTTCGGGTTTGAACTTTTCGGGGGGAACACGTGCTGCAGCTTACACGACGTATTTCAATTTTAACCGCTGTACTATAAACTTGTGTGTTCGACCCTCGACGAACGCCTTCGATATAGCTTCACCCATCATACTTGTTCCTGTCATTCCGCTCTTGTCCTCAATCAGCGATTTCAAGCCATTTGAGAGATTAAAGTCTTAATAAGGGCAAGATTTCCGTATAACCCCATACCAATAAAAAACAAAGCCCAAGTCCCAAAGGTAATCTGTTGTTTTGCCTCAGTTTTCTTTTATCCAGGAATTTTATGCATAATATATAAATTAATTAGTCGTCCTCCTGAGACGAATGCATGTAAATTTCCAAGGTTGGGTTAGATTACCGAGTTGTAGTATACTTGCTATTTTCGAGAAAAAGCCGCACTCTTCTGATTGGGCGCAGCATTCATTGGTCGGGTTTTACTTCCATGGTTGTCGTTTATTCAAGAGCAGCTCTTGAACGATTTAACTTTGGAAAGCTAGTCTTCAGACTACCAGCACCATATTATAATTAGTGACGTCACTAGCTTAGGGATCGAACCTGAAAGAACGACCTTAGTTAATTCAGCGGCAATCGTAGATGACCAATCCCATCTGCCTTTGCCCTATTTAAATCTTTATAGCCAAAACGTCACAGAAAAAGTGACCAATCAGTCACTGCTACTGAAAATCTGTCAGATTACATTTCCAAACGTTCCATCTGATCATTGATTTACAGAGTCTTAATCCACCGTCTTTGATAAACTAGCAAGGTTTAAAAAAAAAAATACTTGTAGAAACGATAAGTTTTAAACTTTATTCAATAGCCTATTCATTCTAAAAAGAAAAATTGTAGAAACATCCCTTTCAATATCATTCAATATTATAAAAAGTTCTTTATGGGTACAACACCAATTTTCTTTTTTGTCGTTTTTTCTTCTTAAGTTTTCCATTATTCACTAAACTTTCTTACTCTTTACACATACATTTGACTCACCCTGAAAAACCTAATGATTATTTGTTCCCACCTGTAGGTTTTGGGTACTCCACACAATTAGAAATTTAAAATTCTCTCTCAAAAATTATTTTCAGGGACTAAAATCAGTGTCCAAATTAGTTGACACATCATGTCCAAAGAGTTCTTTTTATGTGAAGAATAACATTCTTGTTTCTACTTCACTATAAGTCATTAATTATTAACATACAAATTCTCCTTGTCATACGAAACGAATGAAAACATTATGGAGAACATGCGTACTGATGTTTAACTTAATAGGATGCAAACTAGGTTTAACTCAGTTTACCAAATATAAGTCTGAATTGCAAATGGTGGAATAATTTCGCTAATAATTGCTCCCTTTTTATCAGTGATGCCAAAGGTAACATTTCTTCCTTCAGTGTTTTGTATCACCATTACCGTGTTGCCCTCTGGTGTAACAAACCCAATAAACTCCAGGGAAGTCTTTTCAGAGCAGTTTACTTCAATTCTGTGTGAACCTGGTGGTACAAATTTGCTGAAGTGGCCAAGATGATAAAACATTGGCTGCAAAAGATTAGGTAAAATTGATTATATCTTAATCAAATCATACTAAACTGGTTTGAATCAATGGTACAAATTAAGATACAGAATAATTGATGTTAGTTTCCAAAGTAAATTTGTGAAGGTGTAGTCTGATCGTCCGGGTGAGTGTAGTCCTGAGAAGGACTGTTGTCGGTGGTAGTGACTGACGTTTCGACAACCTGTGCGGAAGTCATCATCAGAGTCAAGTGAATGATTGTTGTCAGTAGAATGTTCTTATTCCAGTTCGTGTGAAATGATCGGTTGGTTTTGCCGTGATGTTATTGGCTGTAAGACTCAAGTGACGTAAGTCGGTCGTGATTGGTCTGTTTCGATCTGTCGGTAAAGTTAGGTCGTTCTTTTTCGGTCGTTTGTGATGTTTATGTCGTGAATGAGTCGTTTGTATGGAGCGGGTAGTTGTTGACATCTGTTTAGGGGAGTCTGTTCTAAGTTAGTAAACCAGCTTTCCAGAGTCAGTCGTTGAAAATAGTCAGTGCTGTAGGTTAGGCATTGCGCAGAGTCCCAGTCAATGTTGTGGTTGGTAAGTCGATGGTGTTCAGCAATGTGATTGCTGACATCACCTTTCCTCGTCGCCCGTCTGTGTTCAGTCAGTCTTGNTGACTGGGACTCTGCGCAATGCCTAACCTACAGCACTGACTATTTTCAACGACTGACTCTGGAAAGCTGGTTTACTAACTTAGAACAGACTCCCCTAAACAGATGTCAACAACTACCCGCTCCATACAAACGACTCATTCACGACATAAACATCACAAACGACCGAAAAAGAACGACCTAACTTTACCGACAGATCGAAACAGACCAATCACGACCGACTTACGTCACTTGAGTCTTACAGCCAATAACATCACGGCAAAACCAACCGATCATTTCACACGAACTGGAATAAGAACATTCTACTGACAACAATCATTCACTTGACTCTGATGATGACTTCCGCACAGGTTGTCGAAACGTCAGTCACTACCACCGACAACAGTCCTTCTCAGGACTACACTCACCCGGACGATCAGACTACACCTTCACATGTTACCCCCGGGTTCAAACCATTTACTGCAAAAGTAAATTTGTTACTCACTGGTGGTTCATATAGATGTTTATATGATAACACCTTTAACCTTTGAGCCCAAGAAAGGATGAATATGTAACTTCTCCCTATAATATCCATAACCTATCCAGCAAAGAGCTAATGAGAATACTGAAACTTATCAGTTGGCTAGAGCGCCGGATTTTGTTGCGGGAGGTTGAGGGTTCGAGCCCCAGCCGGACCGATACTCATGGTCTTAAAATAAGCAAGGAGAATTTGCTACCTTTTTATCAAGAAATGGATAGATATTCTAGTCTTCTTGGATAAGGACGAATAAACCGTAGGCCCCGTCTCCTGCAGGGTCAGGGGTAGGAGACGTTAATTTCCCACGCACGGGATTACTCCCCTGGGGTGGGATGGGTGGGAATTGGCCCTGAAAAGCCCCCATAGGGAGTGGTCAACAAACGTATGTATGTATGTATCAGGTAGAAGTTGCTATCTTCAGTTGATCTTACTCCATGTTCTTACAAGTGACTAATTGGCAGGAAAATGTGTTGCAGCTAAAAAAGCTGGGAGAGTTAAAAATCAGATCTTGCGTGTTAGGCAAAAAACCTAACTTTTGAGCAGATATTAACACAAAATTAAAAAATATTAGGAGAAGCATTCAGATAACCCTAATTGCCTCTTCCTATTAAGAGAATTAATCAATTAGACTCATTTTACATTGACTCAGTCTATGGCAACTTTACTACTTTGCTGAAAAAGAATGGAAGTAGATGTCTTTAACAGTTAGCCTCGCGTGTAAAGTGGATTGTACCTGTTTATAGAAGGCATTATTTTCTGCATCCACAATAATTGGAGAATCAACAAAGTTCTTCACCCAGTTGGGTCCTCCTTGTAAATTAAGAGCTATGTTCCAATCCACCCATCCACTTGACCAGTGGGATAAATTCTGTAGATTAAGAAAAAAGAATATTATGTTATCCACTGAAAAGTACAATTTTTTGCTGTGCGCATAAGGGTTGCGCTTTGAATCAACTATACAATGGCAGCAAGAGTGTCAGTTAGTGTCTGTGAGAAACCTAGTTTGGTTTAAAATAAAGAGAACCTCTATTCAGAGTACAATTCCATCATGACTCCCAGGGGTAGGATATGCATCCCTTAAACAGGGCTCCCATCAATAAAGCCCACAGATACAAAAGTTAAAGGATTATTTTCCCGGCACAAAAAAATTGCCCCTTAACTGTAGAAGCCCCCTTTCAGTATAGTTAACAGATTCAAACCATATACAAGGTTACGGGAGCATATTTCAGCTTGGATCTTGCAAGGCTTTCTCAAGAGTTTTGGATAGATCGAGAGGACCCACTCTGCATATACCGTATCTTTGAGCAGCTAATTGCTCATTTTCCCTATTTTCTCTCCATTGTGTATCTTCCATCTTGTTTCGCCGTGTATGAATAAAGCGTATTCTTTGTGTAGTTCGCATTACTTACTGGCGCCTATCATTTTTAAATGACTGCGTCAATTTGCTTTGTGTGGAATATTCAACTGTCAGGAACAGTAACTAGTATATAAATTGTGAAATCACCTCAATGATGCTATAAGCATAATCACTTCCTCGTGACCACTGACCCAGATGAACTCCTCTCTCAGAAGGGGGCCCTGTCCAGCCAGTGCAAGCTTCTGTGTTTAGAATGAAGTGGTCAGGGAATCTATACGATGAAACAAATTAAAAATAATTGAATAGACAATAGCAATAATACTGTAAATGATGTACCGGAAGTCATTTAAGTTTCAATCATGCATTCTCCTTTCAAACCTCGAGCTCCACCATATTATGAAGTGACACCATTTGTGACATTTGACCTTACTACATGTACTTTACAATACTTGTCATCCTTGTCAGAACTAAATTTAGTGGCACCCACCTGTGTTAAACAGTAGAAAAGTTTAAAGCTATAGTAAGTGAAATACTAGACACAATACTTGATCAGGTCTATTGTCCTTTAAAAAAATTATCCAGTTCAAAAATTCTAAACCAGTTTAAAAAAAATTAAACCAAAGAAAAAATTGAACTACAACATAGCCATTAACTCCCAAAATAAGAGTAAAATAATAAAATCAATTTAAGCAAGAATTTATACTTTTTGTTACATACTTTTTGTGTGTTGCAGAAAGCACACCGGGTGAAGTATCATTCTCATTATACCAGTGAACTGCAATGCCAGAAACATATTCAACAGTTTCCTCATCTCCAAGAATGGTATCAGCCCAAGGCTCAACAAGCCTCCGGTTATCATCAACCATCATCAGTTTCACATCCGAGTAGCCGAACTTTTCCAACATTGGGCCTAAGTCCTCTTTGATGAAATCTCTCTCCATCTCCTTTGTGTAACCCATTGTTTGAAAGGAATACCTTCAAATTTAAAGTTGACAAGTGAAATGGTGCACCAAGTTTCTATAGATTGTCTTGGAGGGCTGAGCTGATTGATCAAACTCAATTTCCAAACAACCTCTCTAAGTGCCCAGCCTGTTCAATAATTAAATATAATTTAAGACAATGGTAACATTGAAAAATTCTAGTAATAGAAAATCTCAGATATATGTACATCAGAGCTTTCTTCCTGACAAACCAATCCCAGTCTGAAACATCATGATTACTGTCAGTGGTTAAAATTATCTTTATTAAAAGACATTAAAAGATATAAATTCATTTTCAGTTGTAGACATTGCAAAAGAACATAAAAAAGAAAAAGGAATCTAAGACCCATCCTAGAGACCAGCCAAAAACATGACTCCTTCCTCTAATCTTAGAGACATTTGCAGCAACAATTATTTACCACCTGAAGATTTGCAATCGGGTCAAAAACATTTTTTTTTACAAAGACTGTCAAACAATAGGCCATTTTCGATTTGTTAAAATTCTAACATGGCTCTGAGGCTTGGGGGAATTATAAAAAAAGAAATTAATTATTCATCCCTCAACCTCGATGTGATTTCGTTTGGTTTATTTCCCAAAGCCTCCTAGGAGCCGAGTTTGAATTTTAATATATCGAAAATGGCCAATTCCATCAAAGGGTAAAAGTTGAATTAAAAAACATACTTCAGATTCCAATTTGCCCCTTTATGGTATTTTGTCTACAATATAAACCATTATGCTTATGACTGGTCTTCTTGCTGGCCTCATTTTCTTCCCACAACTATGAAATAACACTTAATCTTTGGGTAAAAACTAAACCCACAGGAACTTGCATAATTCAGTACAAATGCTAGCTTAAAGGAATTACCCTGTTTCCTACTTTGCCATATTTTCCTTTCTTTGATTGCCCTTGATTTGTCTTTTACCATCACAAACAGTTAAGGATAGGTCTTGGATTTGTGTTTTCATCCTTCAGCACAATCAGATTGGAAACACAAGTAAAAGTGCCTAGGATTTGTCACGTTTACACACACAAAAACCAGCTTTACATTCTGTAGAATCACAAATATGTCTCACCCTGGGATAAATCCTGTGCTAGGTTCATTCTGTACAGTAACTCCCCAGATTTTCACCCCATTTTCTTCATACGCCCTGATGAACTTTGCAAAGTACAAAGCCCATGCTTTGTGATATTTGTCTCCTGCCACTCCCTTCAATGTTCCAGCCCCTTGCATCTTACCATTGGTCTTCATCCATGCAGGAGGAGCCCAGGGACTTCCAAAGAACTTGAGGGTCCTTCTACTCATATTTGCTGCAGCTACCAAGAGAGGAATCTTCAGCTTGAAGTCTTCGTTGACCAGGCTAAAGTTTGACATTTCAAAATCTCCTTCATGGTCATCATAAGAGTAAGGCCAGGTAGAAAAATCGCAACTAGCCATGGGAATACGCCCAAGGGAGTACTCAATGCCATCCGGAGAAAAGTATGAAGACAACAGCTTCTGCTGCAAGGTGGAGCTGATGTTTAATATGTTGATTCCAGCAGCATCTGAAGAGAAATGAACTAAGGGCATAAGCTCGATAGGCCTTTTGCAGCTAGAGATCACGTGCTTAGATACCGCCTAGCAACACCATACTGGAGAGCAAGCACTCAGACAGTATAGAGGTCACAGAGGTCTGCATTCAAATGAAGAATACAGTGGATAACAAGTCAAAAGGTATCCCAATTTGAGAAATCCAGTAAGAAGTAATCAACAGCTTCCCCGGAGTGTATCAGCAGCAAAATCACACCAAAATTCGTTTTTCACAGATACACTCCGAGGAAGCTGTTGATTAAAACTTACAAGATTTCTCGAATTGGGATACCCTTTAACTTGTTATCCGCTGTATTCTTTGTTTAAATGCAGACCTCTGTGATCTCTATTTTGTCTGAAATCACTGGAGTGCTTGCTCTCCAGTATGGCGTTGCTATGCAGTATCTAAGCACGTGATCTCTAACTGCAAAAGGCCTATTTACTGGTAGAGACCATTTGATCTCAGCGATTTTGGTTGTAAATACCCAGAGGCAGTCAAGTTGTCAATTTTTAAGTTAAATCTTAAGCTTTCAATAATGATTTTCTAGAATAGGACGATTATAACTCTTCAAAGGATAACATTACTAAACCTGTAAAGGCTCCTCCTATGCCCAGTATAGTCTGGAAAACTTCATCCTGATTTACGACAAACTTGACCTCGGCTTCGACAGGGTGCCGTAGTTTTCGATAGGACCCTGGCTGTTTTATCTTCCCCGTCCTTAGATTAAAACGATCGCCTGCCTTTGAGCTGGTGTAAACAGCATATTCTTGCTCGGACAAAGGACTTCCCTCACTGAAGGAATCACAGCCTTGTTCATCAGAACACACACAGACAGTACCCCCATGACCAAAATCCTTGCTGTGGCACGCTGAATAGTTAGGTGGTGAAAATCGAAGTGTGGCGGCAAAGGACAAAGAGCAGCATACGAAAGAAATAAAAAGAGGTATTACTTTTCTGAAATCCATACTTCCCCTACGCTAGCATTACGAATGGGTATAAATACCCCTAACTGTGTTAGCAATTTTCGAGCAGGCACTCAGCCCCAGGCCACCAGAGTGTCCGAGAGATCATTAACTGTTATTGGCATGATAGCGATAGTTATCAGGGGCAAAGTTTGTGTTATTTGCCGCGGCCGAAGGCTGAGGCAGATAACACAAATTGAGGCCCTGATAATTATCGCTACCATGCGAAAACCAAATCCAATAATTGTTTTATTATGCATATTCCTGAGCTGCACTTGTAAAGACAAGAGTGCATAAAACTCTTCTCTGAAGGTATGACGTCACTGCTACATGTCTAAAATCTATCGCCTCTAGGTATGACGTAAGAGAATGTATAATAATTTCTGTTTTACTTCACACGGTCTTGCCTGTCAATAAAAGTTCAGCTGATAATCACGAGATGGCCACAGGTGAAGGGTGTAGAGCTTCTCACCATACCTTTTTTTTTTTTTCATTGTTTCCAGACAGAAATTAAATGGTTTTTTTAAAGCGTTTTTCTTTTCTCGGAATTCATTTGTCACAATAAAGCTATTTCCTAAAAGGTGTGAGAACGCTAGTTGTCTTGGATCTGACGTCTTCAACGACCTTCCGAGAAGGAATGTTACGTCAGTACATCACGTGTCAAGCAGTTCCACCCCATGTTGAGCCCTGTGGTTTTCATTATGGTATGAAGATTTAAGTGTCAGATCCTATCTGGGGCCATCAATCCACATTGTTACATTAGCTAAGCTTACGCAATGGTCTAGCGCATGCGCAGTGATGAGACTAAGCACATGTTCGGGACACAAAGTTTATTTTCCTTGATCTGAGATAACTAAATAAAATTACCAAAAAGCTGCATATCCTTTTACACACATGACGCCCGTCTCTCGTTTTTTAGACCCCCTTCCCCCTCCCTCTCATTGCACATGTGGAGATGTTGGAGAGGGGGTGGTCAGAGATCGCCCACTCCTTCAATTTGTATTCTTATCAAACTGATCTGGACGTTTGTTTCTTGTGAATTAACACCATGCCAAAAGACATTGACGAATCACCAAAGAAAGGAAATTAGGGTTGGTGCTAGTAAATGTTCCCAAAGCAGTTTAAGGGAGATTTAAGATTTTTTACTTCAGCTTCCCTGTTCAGTTGGGAAGTCCATTGGTTCTTATCCACAATGGTTCTAGTAAAAAAAATTTACAAACATTTGAACGAACTTCCGGTTACGTCATGAAAACGAAAGTGATTATGGTATGCACCGCATTGCACTCCGGTTCCGTTAAGTATATATGTCGTCCGGCCGTTGCAGCACTGACCATTGCACTAAAGGGTCCGTGGCCGGGGGCGCCTGAAAAAAAAAAAAAAAAAAAAAAAAAATTTCTGGGCTTACCAAACGAGTCGAAAGTGTAAAGTAAAAAAAATTATGACAATTGCTATGGCATATTTTACTACAATGTGCGTCGCCTCAGTGACTAGTTCGTGATGAATTATAAAATCATTCTCACTCAGTTGGTTTGCGATCGCAATGAGAGAAGCACCTATGATTCTACACTACCTTTCGATGGACTATGACACAGTCTGCCACAGGAAGATTATTATAATTATTATTATAAATGAGCATCATAAAGATCGTGTGGGATTCCAGCAAGGAGAAACCGTGGAAAGCGTGGACCTGGGGTAAGTGACTTCTGCAAAATATCACATTTCGATGCGCACGGTCTATCATTTGCCTGCGACCGCCCCCAAGGTCCCACGATCAAGTCAAAAGCGACGATGCCTCGAAAACTATCATAACCGATATTGTACACAGTAAGAATTTTTCCGTGCTCGCGATCTCGAATCACATCACTCTGTCGGTTTGTGGCCGCATAATTTGCATAGCGATTTAAATGTTTTGTTTGTTTGATTTAAGCTCGATTGTTCAAACCTCTGCTTTTATTTTTTACAAATACTTCAAATTGAAAACAGTTCTATATGTAACTTTAAGAGAGGCAAAAGAGATTAATCATTTTCCTCCATTTTATCTTAGACTCTGCTCTTTTCTTGTTCTGGAATGATATTTTCGACAGCACTTTAATTCAACATTATTGAAAGTCAAATTTTAGCCGAGCCAGTAATTTTAAAGTGTTCTCTAATCGGTTCTTGATGACCGTTTTTCAAAATCAGGTGGAGATTTGCATAATCTATTGACAAGTAGAATTGGTATGCGAAATGTTTCCTTCTGATGCGGTTTCCATGCTAAAATGCTTAAAATCGAATTACGCATGAATTAATCATCACACAGGTCCGAGTAATAGCTGTCTATCACCCTGGCTGACAAACAACGACAGAAACTTTTTGCCCGTCAAAACGACTCTACGACATTTTTACGCTGACTGATATAAAGCTTAATTTAAAAAGGTACCATCTACTTTACTTTTCGCATGCTTTTTCCCAAACTGAGGCAGGGAAAGGTGTTTCATTCTGATATCTTTATCTAGCTGTTTGTTTTTTTCATTAATCACTGTCTTCCTCTTTCATGGCTGTGAATGGCTGCGAAGCTTATGCCTGTTGAAAAATCTTCTTAGAATAATTTTGTCGTCATTTTTTTTTTCGTGAAGATTTATTACTCCAGCTATGGCAGTTTTGATACACCGGAAGTCCTTTCATCAGAAGATAGAAAATTTGTTGCAGGTTCAGTTTTAAGTTGCTGAGCTATTTAATCACACTCGCGAAGTGCATGTACTCTCGTCTGGTTTGTTTACTACTTAAAAGAGGCATCTATCCATAACTTGCCAACGACTTCACTTGTACCACAGTTAAGCCATGAATATAAAACGAAAAGAAATAGAATTTTACAAAATATTCATATGGTAGGCCTGCGGATATTATTGCTTTGATGAAATGAAATGGATAAAAAACTGCATAAAATAAAATGCCCGCTCGGCTCAAAGATATTTGACAACCACTTTGTAATGCAAGTATAAATCTGCTCCCGCTCCAAACAGCCACCCGTCATTTTGGTCAAGAAACCTGCTGCATCTAATGATTAAGCCAATGATAGACAGGCGACTAGCCAATCAGAGTGCGCGAATAAGAGCGTCTTTTTCAAGATGTAAATAAAACAGTTACAAGAAAGGTTTGTTGTTCAGTTTCATATTCGAGGCAAAAATTGGCGGAATTTGGGAGAAGCGCACTTTAGCGTTTCCAACTTATATGATCCCTCTGCAATGCCTATACCGGATAGAAAAACAAGCGGCAAGGAAGGTAACACTATGTTCAAAGAAGTATTCAGTTGGCTGATAATTCGGCGACGCATTTTGTTAGCACATACCTACGAAAATGGTTGCTTACAACTGAGGTATCTTTTTATAAGGCTTCATAGCTGCTAGGATGTGGCAGCCAAAAAGCCCTTATTCATTTCTTATGTAAGCGCTTTTTATATTCATCAAGAAGTGAAACGAGTTTTGCAGAGAGGATTCTCGTGACAATTCCTGCATAGCTGCTCAAACACTATGCGGAAAAATTGCAGTTCTTTATGAAAATTCTCTAATCTCGCTCATTAGCAACCAAATTTTTTTATTAGAAGCATGAAGGGAAAACATTTAACGTACGTTAAATTTTTATGTTTCTCTCAAAAAGCACTAATAGAAAAATGATTTCATAATTCCACTAAGTATTCTCCTCAGATTTAGCACAGTAGTTAGAGAGGTCATTCATTATTACAGAGCCAGTTTTGCCGGACAATGAACCTAAATTATGCAGAGCTCAACTCCATGCTAGCATGATAGCTGGGTTTTAAATTTATACCATACAATAGTTGTTTTCAAAATGAAATTTCAAAACAATCATAGTCACATGCACAGTTTACTACATGCATGCCGAGTGTAACCTTCTTTGAAATAAACAAAAAAAAAGTAAAACGCCAGAATTCCCTGAATCAAACAAACTCGAGAATTTTTAACTTTTTTACGTGTCAAGGACAAAACAAAGGGCGTGGCTTATACAAGGATTATCTGGGGGGTTATTTTAACAATAACAGTATTTTGTTACACCTTGCAAAATGTTTTCGCGCCAATTGCATCTGCTAATAAATTTCTCAGCATAATTTTTGAATCAGAGACCAATCAGCTGCTGTCTTCTTTCATTCCTCGATGTCTTGTATTCATCTATTTCATTATGGTTCCATGAAGATTCCCTTTTCTCGTCATTTTTATGTATGCTCACTAATATGTTAATCGTTTGTTTGTGTTTGATTTGCAGCAAAGTCGGCTGCTAAAGATGTGTTTAGTGGTGGCAAGGGCGAAGAAGGTACTGTAAATTCCTTTTTTTATCGCTTACAAAATAAACATCAATTGATGAAACAAAATGTTGATTACACTGAGTAAATCACGTTCTTTGGCAAAGTCACAAGAGTTTTTCTTATCGTCCGGCTAACGGAAGAAAAACAATTCAAAGAGTTTTGACTCTGGCAAGCCAAACACAAAATCGATTCTTCTTTCTTCAAGCGGGGAAATGATCCTTGCATCGGCAGAAAAAAAGCCTCAATGAATTTAGGGTGAAATGCGATACGAATCTTTACCTTCCAGATAGTAGTTGGCAGCCACCTCCAAATGAATTCGAAGCTGCATTTTAAGAGGAAGGGAAATTTTGGTGGGTTTTTCATTTCTAGAGCAGAATCTCATCACAAATTTTAATGACATAAATTTGACTTTGATAGGGAGTTTTCAAAAGGCTGGAAAGTTTGTCTTGTCCTCTAAACTATGGGAGCACTCTACTCCATCCAAAACATGCGACGTACTCATCACATTTCCCAAAGGGACAGAGGACTACACGGTAATGTGGTTGCTATCGAGACTGCGAGCCAGAGTGCCAGATATCGACGTTCATGTGCGTCAAATGGCTCACTCACCAGTCTACGGTTTCTATCTAACTTCAACTTTTGAAGTCTTCCTGCAAAAAGCCGAGGAACTGGGATTAAAGAAAAAGCTACGCACAGGTGGAATTACGGATTTTAAGTACGACGAACGAGATAGTTTTGAGAATTCAGATGATCCCACGGTCTTCTTCAAATCTGGAGAGAAACAGAGTATGATTTTGGAAATGGTAAACGACCTGAGAGCCGTGGAGGGTGACGAGCTGGGAAAGATCAAGTTTGTGGAGGGACAGCAGATCGGTAAGACAATGTGTTTTCTAAAAAAAAAATTAAACTCTGGAGGGAAGAAATTATCAAAGGCAGTTCATTAGCACCTTTCAGAGCAGTTTTCAAATAGATGTCGAAAGTGAGGAATGCTTTGGGTTTGCCTTACCTTACCCTGCGATTGGTTCACAATTCTAAACCTATTAGATTCTGAATTAAATCAGTCGCGACTCCGGTCATGCCATGGAAAATGAAATCTCTTAACTGATCTCCTCTTTAAAGAAAATGGCTTTAATAGCAAGGTTATAATTGTCATACCTCATGTTTCAGATCTATAATATTCTGTCAGTACGAGCGTTAGGGACCGTTCATTATCGCCCGTGGCTGTGTCACGATAAAATTTACTCGATCCTCTCATAAGTTTCTTTAATATTCCTAAGATGTCCCCTTCATTAGCTTGTACCTTTAATGATTGAATTAATGCCTCCCCTTTCATAATCTGTCGGTGACGAACTATTTCCCCTTCGTTTCCCTTGAAGACCAGGCGATGCATGAAATAATGACTGGTCCCTGTGCAACTGCTTTAAAGAAACTTCAATGATATCGATGATGAATGCAACTTGAATTGTTCCTTTTTTTAGTATTCTGCACCACGGCACATTGATTTCTTGCAAACGTAATTTCGATTTCATATCGATTATTTCTACCAGTGAGATTATTCATTGGCCAAACAACAATGGGACAATTTTTCAGATATTCGTATATAGCCTGTTCTCATGTAATCTAATAGATGTTCAGTGCCCGCTAAACTTTTATTCATTCAATATACTTCTTTTTTTGAAAAACAGTACCAAAGCTGCTGGCGGAGGGCGTAGTGGAGAAGATGTTTCCTCTTCATAATTCAGATGATCTAGCCAAACTTAAGAAGTCCTGGGTCTCTGCATTCTTCAAGAAGCAACCTTTAGGTGAGTGATTTAAAATTGACCAGCTGTTTTCCTTGGTTTTTTTTTTTTTTTTTTTTTTTTTCAGAATGAACACATATCGAACTCAAAGATAATTTTTTAATCAGTTGTCTTGAAAATTTTTTCCTATCCTGATTCACATGGTGTTATAAGGTTAAAGCTTAGGGCGTGCTATTTCTGTAGCCGTTATGTAATTGGCACTTTTGATGTTAAGTGCACAACAATTGTGTTTTTCTTAATTTTCAGACGATATCTGCGAGTATTTTGGTGTCAAAATCGCCATGTACTTCGCCTGGCTGGGAATGTATACAAAGTGGCTGATAGCACCCACAGTACTCGGTATTATAACATTTATCCTGTCCAACAGGGGCGAGGTAACACGAGACTGGTGCATCCTCTTTTTCAATATCTTCAACATCGTGTGGGCTACGCTCTTCCTAGAAGCCTGGAAACGAAAGAGTGCTGAGCTTGCGTACAAGTGGGGTACAATGGACATGCCATCGGATGCTCTAAAAGAGCCAAGACCACTTTTTAGGGTGAGAGGGAGTATAGAAAATTGTCTGTGAATTAACTGCCTAATTAAATTTGAAAGCGTTTGAGACGAAAGATCAAGTACTCCATAATTGTTTTGTTACACGACATTCCCTCCTCATACAATATTCCGCTCTTTGCAGTTACTAATAAATTGTTTATTCTTAACGTAAATGTCTTGCCTCTTCCCCACAGGGAGATTATCAGCCTAGCGAAATAACTGGACGCATAGAAGCACATTACCCTTCCTGGAAAAGAAACATCTTCCGCTACTGCGTATCACTGCCAATCATTCTCACCTCTCTGGGCGTGGTACTGGTCACCATGCTGCTATGTTTTGAGTTTCAGAGGTGGGTGGACGGTATGGAGAATCCTCCAAAGCCACTGAAGTTTGCTCCAAAAATCGCCCTGGCGGTCTGCATTGGCATGTTGGACGACAATTATAAGAAAGTGGCTTATCATTTGAACGATAAAGGTAAGTTAAGGTATCAGCTACGGCCTTCTGGATCTTTCCACGCCAGTCAAAGTCAATGATTTTTTTTCAAAACGTTATAAAAACTCCGAATCTGGGACGAGCCTACTGCTCTTTTTTACCTCACTTCACTAAATAATTGGACATTTGTTTAACAGGACTGAGTGAACTTCAAAAATTTTCAATTTACTGCGCGTTTTCAGCAGAGATGTAAATTTTGCGATCAAGTTTTGTTTCAGGTTTACTTTTTTTTCTCCGTTAAACGCTAAATGTTAGCATCTCAGACGTTAGATCTCGGCAATTATGCTGTCAGTTGGCTAATTTTTGAGCGTTAACGAGTTACTACTGACTAAAAGTTTGGACTGTAACCGGCCCCATAACATAAGAAAGGGATCCACAGCATTGTCAAAGTCTAAGCAGGGAATAAAAAAACTATATAACACTTGGAAAGCAACTTAAAAAAGAACCAATTCCCGCTTGCCTTTATATCTAATTGGTTTTCAGTGACGGAGGCAAATCTCTTAATATCTTTTTTATAGACTACTTAACCTTGAAATAAAATTTACACCTCAGAATAGAAGGAAAACGAGTTTATTCGATGGTGTACAACGATACTAATGAAATTAACCTAATGCCGAGTGAATGACTGATTCCTTTTTTTAGATAAAAAGAAAATACGAAACTAGCTGTGAGTGTTATTAAATACACGTTAAATATAATTATTCTTGATTGGAAGGCTCATGTTCTATTCACAGAGAACTATCGATTACAGGAGACATATGAAAACCACTTGATTATCAAGCTTGTTTCGGTAAGTGAATTTTTTTTATGTATATAACTTCCCCGAAACTGAGCTATAGCTGAGGCATTAGATGCAATATTAATTTTCTTTTTTCACTCATTCTTTTCTTGCAGTTCCAGTTCTTCAACGCCTTCTTGGCACTGTTCTACATTGCCTTCTACCTCCGAGACATGGACAGGCTTAAAACTGTAAGCAAATATTACAATCTATAAAAACGTATTCAACAAAGAACAGTAGATAAGGGCTGATAGTTTCTAAAGAAACTGTTTGGCGCTGCGTCGGTGGGGGTAACGAAATAATTTGAATATATCAACAAAGTTGAAATGGTAAATTGGCCACCGTTACTGTTATAAAAGCTGACGTTTCTAGCGTTAGCCCTTCGTCGGAAGGGCAAACGCTCGAAACGTCAGCTTTTATAACCGTAATGGTTGCCAATTTACCATTTCAACTTTGTTGATATTTTCAAATTATAACAGTAGATAAGGTCTTTTTTACAACATGATAAGCCCTGGTTCTGCAGAAAAGCAGATTTCTACCAAATTTAGGCCCACTGTTTTCATTCATCCCTTTATATCCCCCAAAGTCGATATGGAAAGCTCGAGACAACAGATGTTTGCTCCCAAAAGTGAGAGTCAAATTGAGAAAGACATGCTCCAAGTTTAGCTTACAATTAGCGAAGTGCCTTAACCACTAAAACGTGGACTATATCTCCATAATACTCTACGTGATTTAGAATGTTTATGATGAAAGCTCATTTGCTTTAAAATATTCGAGGATCGTGCCGAGGTATATCTTAGTTCCTAGAAAGCGTTAAACCAACAATTTTTTTTTTTATCAATTCCAGCAACTCGCCGCACTGCTCATCACTAAACAAGTGGTTGGAAACGTCAAGGAAGCGCTGGTTCCATTTGTGAAGCAAAAGGTGAAGGAGTGGAAACTAAAGAAGGAAGAAGCTAAGGCGAAAAAAGAGCTAGACGAAAAGGAAGGTAAAGATAAGGGGGCAGCTGACAAGAAGTCAGATAAACCCAAGGAATTGGACTCGCCACTGATGAACCAGGCTGAAATTGAGAGCACCATGGCAGAATATGAGGTAACAAGAGTTTAAACGAGCAGGTTCTCCGTGTGGCTGACGCTTTATAACTCTATATACTCGTCAAAGTTTGTTTTTTATGTCATTTACTTCAACTTCATTGAAGTTATGATCCGGGGATTGGGGTCCAAATATTAAAAAAAAAAACAAAAAAAAACTGCATAATGTCGAGTAAAAGGGGGGTAAGGATACGTTTCATCTTTCGTTACCAGGTTATGGTGTACTTCTCCTCCGAAGAATACTTTAACATTCCTAATTCTGCGCCCAAAGAATGTCCCTTTTGTACATCTGTTCATGGATTTCTTTTCCTTCCGGATTAGATAGTCATGTTTGTTATTCATTGTGACATCTTAAATGTTTCGCACTTTGCTTCTCTTAGGACACGTTCGAGGACTACCTGGAAATGTTCATACAGTTTGGTTATGTGGTTCTGTTCTCTTCTGCTTTTCCTCTCGCTGCCTTGTGCGCTCTTCTTAACAACATCATAGAAATCAGGAGCGATGCTTTTAAACTGTGTACCAATCTGCGTCGACCTTTCGGAGAGCGAGTAGAAAACATTGGCACATGGCAGGTAACTTTTTCGCTCATTTTAATCAAGCTTCCTCAATATGACTTCATTACATTTTTCGCAATTTCTCACTTCCATGTTCAAATTAAAATGTTAAATGAGTAAATTGATTTTTGTCCGAAAAAGTATCATGAGTCAGAGCATTTTTCTTGCACGATTCCACATACATCAAACTTCTCCCTCATAAACCCTTTGGTGTCTTTCTCTCATAGGATGCAATGGAAGTCATGGGAGTAGTGGCAGTAATGGTGAACCTGGCTTTACTTGGCATGGGCGGCTCAGTTCAGCGGATGTTCCCCAACATGACAGTAACTGACAGGATCATTCTCATCGTTGTCCTTGAGGTCAGCTCGGGGTTTGAGCTCTTTTCCCCATATCTCCCTTTACCTTTTAATTTCCTTCCTTTCCCATGATTCTCTCTTCTCCACTGCCTTTTAGTAGCCAGTAGAGACCATTTTATTCCTTCATGTAACTTTCCCATCTCTCCCCACGCCCCCTCTGCTATCAGCTTTCCTTCTCCTATCCGTCATAGGGCCTTACAATGTGATGGTGGAACTTCATGAATTTAAAAAAAAAAAGAAAAAGAAATTGCACTTATTTTATTGCAGCATCTTGTTCTTGGAATCAAGTTTGCGGTCGCCTACGCCATCCCCGACATTCCAGAATGGGTGGAAAATGAAATAGCCAAGATGGAATTCCAGCGAAGAGAGGCTCTGAAGGTACAAAATGCACGCTTGCGCAACGATCGATGTAGCTATTAGAATATTCATTCAATTACCGTTTTCCAAAACTTCAAGGTTACAAAGAACTAAGAAGTCGAATTGATATGTGGCTCACTAGAATTCGCTATGTCAGAGAACAGTTTAGGTTGCGAAAGCATCACTTCACAGATATACAACATATTTACTCTCATGGTTTGAGTTTGGAATCTCCTTTTCAAAAATTCTACTTGTATGTTACGTTTCAGAGTGCTCCCAGCACACCCAAAAGTCCAAAAGATCCACAGGCAAAAGCTCACACCCCTGTGTAGTAGGACCACTGGATAAGTCAAAGGCAGGTTCAAGGGACACCTCTTCACGTGTAGTCATGACTTCAAACGAGTTGCAGCGTTTTAAGGGCTTGTTTTATTTATTAGGATTGACATTTGTTTTATAATTCTTTTGTTCCAAAAAATCTTACCGGTAAAAAAGGAAGATTGAGTAACTGTCAACAAACGGGTTAAATGGGGTAAGGGTTTGTGTGTTTCTAATGGTCCAATAAGCCTTTTGATAGTTATAAGAAATTAGACGTCATGAACTTCACTGATGACAAGTGACGAAATGACTTGGAAACATCTTTAGCTAATGGAAAATTCTCAAATAAATTATTCAACTGGTTAACTAGCAATTGACTAACTGGTTAACAAAGACTCAATTAATAATATGACAACATGAAGTAGTGACTACTAGATTCAAAATAAAACTTCCAACCATACTAACACGCTTCCTAACGCACCATATAAATATGGGAACTGAGTGTGTTCTGAAGAAAAACCCCTAATGCTAACTCGACACTAAACTTTAGCCGCATTGGGTGTATCTCCCCTTCTCTTTGTTAACATACGACAATTTTAACATAAGGTAAACATAATTGAAAAGTAAACTGTTGACGTTAATTTAACTTCCATTAAAACTAAATGATGACTTGTGTAGCAAAAACTAAAGCGTTTTAAAAATTGCTGACAATTAAAGGGAAAAATAGCATACACGGAACACAACCTGTGTACAGCCGCCCCTACCTTAACAGACAAAAAAAAAAAAAACAATCGGGAAGGGGCGTCTCTGACTACAATAATTCATCACGGGTTCAAAATTAATGCACTGCTGAACACTGATTCGTGTTAAACGCTGCAGTCAAGCTAGGAATCAGCAATTCCATGTATAGAAACTAATACAAGTAATTATAGTAATGATAAAATTCATGTTAACGATAATAACAGTAATAATAATAATAATAATTATAATAGTAATACTTATAATAGTAATTAGGATAAAGACGTCAATGATAACGATAACGACGACAACCAACAAGTTTTTCTTTCATATTTTCAAACTGACTTTCCATCCTACCTCACTTTTCAATACCACAGCTAATGGAGGGACAACAAGTTAACCAATGACACGACTAATCTTAAAATGTTAAAAAGTAATCACAGGCGCAAATTACTGTAGGATAAACAGACACCAGCGGAAAACCCTTTTAAAACCAACTACACGCAAACTCACGTACTTAACTAAGAAACTATTTGGACGTTTTAATTCTTCTCTGACCGTCACACTCGGCTGTTTCATACAGGATCAGCCGGTCTTACAAAAAGTTATGCTAGCGCTGAAATATACGCCGAGGTTTGGCGATTGACTTTAACCAGACAAAAGGACAGTCATGATCAGACAGACAGACAGACAGACAGACAGACAGACAGACAGACAGAGAGACAGACGCACGGACAGAAAAACAGACACAGAGACACAGTTGTCACACAGGTTAAATACGAAATAACAGCAGCCAGCGTTAGCTGCAGTTATAACTGCGTGTAACCTTTTTAACTTGAAACCCTGACCAAGTTGAAGCGTTAAAGTGTGTACTTCCTGCAACGAGCTAACGCGGTACTAATCAAGATCTAGGAAATAATTAGAACAGAAAACAAAACGCTAGCTACGTCATTTGAACTAAATAGCTTAAAGGGAAAACATGGAACTAATTCAGTGAACATCGGCGGCCTTCACTTAAAACGACAAAAATGCAAAAACTGCTTACCACATTGTGGCTAACTTTAAATGTATGCATTTAACTAAGACAAGAATCTAACAACAAGGTATAGAGACTGCATATATCAAAATATGTTTTTACTTGCCATTATACTCCTAATTTTCTTACATATTTCTACTAGCGAATGACGCAACAGGGCTACTGAAAAAATTGAACTCAATTAAGATTTAGTTATCGAATCTATAACAAAAGAAAAGGTTGGCTTAGTAAAAAGTTAGGATACTCAGTAACAGAGGAAGACGAAAGCTCAATAAGAACGTAGATTTACAACTTAAAAAACTAACCCTTGTACTGAACGAGTTAATTTTAATAATTTTTTGCTAGTCTGAGTGACTTTTGTTTCTGCGTAGTGCTCCACTCCATATTCCACCTTTGCCATTCTTTGTACTAACATTAACTTGATTTTATTGGTAAGCTAGTTTGATCCTTGCCTGTCTTATTCAACACATTCAGGCGACGTGGTTGTTTCAAGTTAATTTCGATGACGGCTCATAAATGGGTGACCGAGAAAAACGCAAATCTCCTTAATTCAAACAAAGTACCATACCGTCTTTGTATTATATTTGACTGACATATTAACATGAAATATGTAACAGCAGATCTTTGGTACTTATCATTTCAAACTTTTGTTCTCAAAGTAATGTAAAAGTAATACCAAGAAAACAGTTAAACATAGTATCATCGCAATATTTACACAGGACCTGCGACAAAAAACGAACACTATTTGGTGAACAGGTAACCCGAAGAATCTTAACTACAGAGAAGCAGAGTTCCATTATATTCCATACCGACGCTATTGACGTGACACAACAAAATACGAAAATGACAAGTTGGCAAACCACTAGTTATAAGTTAGTATTCATGACAAATACATCACCAGTAACCAGTAATTACACTGACACAGGATGCAAGAAAATGCAGACTGAGGGACAATTATCTAGCAAAAGATAAAGACAACATTTTAGCTTCAGATGGATCACAAAGCTAAAAAGGACAAAGAACATTACTCAGACTAAAACAGGAACAAACGATATAGAAAAAATGAGAAAAACTGAACTAGTCTTTTAAAAATGAAAGCAATAATAGATAGAATTCTTAAACAACTTGTAATTAAGAGTGGTCGAAGAAATAAGGTCACTAATGTAGGAAAGAGTCGATTTTGTGGGCGACTTTGGAGTTAGATCAATCATGTGAAATATCTACTCTTTACATGTAGCTGCAACTATTACACATCTGGCCCCCGGTTGTTCGAAGGATGGATAACGCTGTACACTGAATAAACCTCTATCCGATGGATAGCGCAGCACGTTTTGCTTTTACTTATCTGCTGAATAGCGATTTATCTGCTGGATTGCGTTAACCACCCTTAATACAACTGGGCCCTGGCATTGTGAAGTTTGTAAACCAATTAAAACAAAGTAGATAAACATGCCCAGGTATCAGGTTTTAAAATTTCTAGTTTCCACCAGGTTTTTTTCTTTTTGATTTTTGTCATCTACCCTTAATTCAACAGTGGATTGTAAAACCCTTCTTGGGTCGGCTACCATAAAAATCGTCTTCAGTCTTGACAATTTTTTTCAATATTTTTCAAAAAAGAGTTTCTGTGCACTTTCATTTAAAGTAGCAAAGATGGCTTCATTATCTAGAGAACTGAAATTATTTGTATGTAATTATTACATACCTTTGCAGATAATTTAGTTCTATATGTAAGTGCTAGAGAACAACTAAATAGATATGATATGCACTGTAAAGGGAATAAAGTAAACTTTATAGTTTAACTGAAAAAAGTTGACACATCTTTGCCTCATACAATGCCATAACTAATCAAGCTGGGGTGTAAAATGCTTTTGATTGCTTAGGGTGAGCAGATTTACAGTCTCAGAACATATCTGAGCAGTTTTTTTCCTCGTACTTCCCTGAGCCGGCCACAGTGTCTTAACATGGTAAGTATTGCCCTTCCTGTGGAGTCCAGCTTGAGTTGTGAGTATGTCTTGAGATCATCATCAATAAAAAAATACTCCCCTGTAGAGGAACGAAACCAAAGCAGCTGTAATTGAGGGTCATTATGGAATGGAAAAGGAGAGACAAATTGGTTGAAAGAGTCTCGTCTTTGTAAACCAATCAAAGAGCATAACAAAGCAGAATAGATATGTTCCTGGATTGCTTATGGCACTCAGTTGTAAATTACTCTGACTGACTTCCTCAACAAACTGGTCACAATCTTTGCCAAAAGACAACTTTCAGACCCAATATTATAACACTGAAAGATTTAAAAATTCCTTTGTAAGTAGATTAATCTATTCATAAACATGCAGCAAGTTTTTTATACATGTATATTTCAGCACAGAACTTATTTTATTTAAAAATCATAACTAAAGACATAACTGTATATTTTATCTGATATGTATTAAAGACAATGAGAGCAACAGTTTTGTTTCTGCTAAGGGCACAGATTGTTCATGTTCACATGTATCTTAAGGCCAGTTAAGGTCACTTACCCTCTGTGTCTGGTATCTCGGCCTCTTTAAAAGCCTTAGATAAACAAAAGAAATGCATGTCAGTAATTTATAAAAGAGGTGTTAATTGTATTACTGAAAACAGGAAATACTCAAGATGTGCAGGGAAACCAAGCATTTCCGCTGAGACTTTAAGATATCATATTTGTAGTTAAAACAGTCCTTCCAAACAAATTCAGGAAGCAAGCATATCCTTCACAACAAATGAGTAATCTGCCAGCAGGTTTCAAACATCACCATAACTGTTAAGCAACTAATGAATCTCAAGAGAATGCAGTGACATAATAAGACTGAGAAAAAACCAAGTAAGTTCAGATTAACATGTTTTCAGTTCATGACAAGGAAAGCAATTAAAGTTAAGGGTGCCTTACAGCTCTAATGTTGCATATCTGGGGTGTCTGGGTTTTCAAACACCTTTAAATTTATAATTATAGCAATGTAATGCAAGTCAACCAAAGTCAGAAGTTAGTTGCCTATTGCTATTGGGCTCTGCTGAACAACATACAGCCCTGATCTACCTTGTATTTTTTCATAACTGGCTCTCCCATTGCTGAGCGAGGAAGACGTAGAATCTTGTACTTTGCTGTGATAACTTTATAAATTTCGTCAATGGCATTATTGACTTGGTCATAAGAAGTACGTCCCTTAATGTACCTGAGGGTAGTGAGTAAGTGTAGATTATTTAAAAGTGTTTATGAGAACAACACAACAACAATGCAAATTAAAATAACAACAATAGCAACAAAGATGATGAGTTTAGAACAAAACAAATCAAATCTGCTACATAACTATTTCAACAGATATATTTATAAAAAAAAGCTGCCATATGTCATTACTTTGAGCCACACAGATACAAACAGAAGTATCCCAAGTTAGGAAGGAGTATGTATCAAGTATCTTCTCTTCTTGATTAGATAAATCTAAATACAGGGAATTGCAAGAGGTCTAGAATCTTAATTTGACTTTAGAAGTCTACATCACAATGTAGTTTAATCTACTGTTCTCTTACTTTGGTATTTCGTCAAACTCTTCAACTGTGAGATATGCTAACTTTGGAAACTCGCATCCATCCTCACTAGACAAACCTTTAGCTCTGCGGGTCTTTCTGGGCTTTTTTACACTCTCTGTCACAACATCCTCTTTTAAAACTCCTCTAAGTGATCAGAGTTAAGACAAAAAATGAAATTCTGCTGAATATATGCATTTTAGCTTTTTATCTTTAGTTTAGTGTCAACATAGAGCTGCTCTACTTCAAATAAAATGCAAAACTATCTTGCAAGACACTACTGAGACAAAATGGGAAAAAGAAGCGTCAGATTTTTCAACTCATTGTATAGACGTAGATGATTCATGTGCAGTTTTTGCTATCAGAATACTGTTACTAGTACAATGCAACTGCGATAAAAACCTATTTCAGTTCCCAAAAGAGCATTCTACCATGAATTCTCTAATGATAAATAATAAGCCCTGTTGACTTCTTTTGCTCTGGAGCAACAAATATGAGTATTAACATTTAGCAAATTAACCTTTCAATGCAGGAGAGCAAGTGCACATGAGAAGCTTTACATGATAACTGACTCCTTTAACTATAAAGAGAGGCTCTTAGTTATATAACTTTTCATTTTGTGAGTCAGTTATTAATTTTTACCTTTTGGATATCTTTTCAACTCCAGGGAGATGTGATGGGAGGTTGGATGTGACATGTACTAGCCTTTCTTTATATTTGTCTGCAACAGCTTGTATAGCCTTAGATGATATTTAAATAAATACATGTATCAATAGAATGGTGGAATTATACTTACTATTATAACAACCACACTTCAGAAATGATTTAATCTAATAATCAAATGAATACTTCTAGGGGATATAAGGCACAAAATGAGATTAGGCACACACTAAGTCCAGAGATAATCATGCTCCTTGATAAAAGGGTTTCTCAATTGTTTGTCTCTACCTAATTAACATGAGATACCTCTCCTTGCTCTAATAACTTCTTTTCCTTTTCCAAATGTGCTTGAAAGCTACTTAGAGAAGACTCTATCTCCAGCAATTCTTTGTCCAAAGACCTCAACACAGAATCGCAGTTGGCAGAACTCACTAATGATAATAGGAGCAAATGACATTGTAAACAGTGTTTTTTGTGACAAGCTGGCAGAAGCACAAGTACCAGGCCCTATATAAAATGAGTTGGCCCACTTCTTTCCCAATTTTTGAAAGCTGACTTTAAAAACAACATACCCCCCGTACCCTAAAGATGTTAATTAGATAACCAATGTACCTACTCGATAGCGAGTGGTTGAGAAAGAGATTCGGGTGAAAAAAGTACAGGAAGTGGGATTTTCCAGACGCTGTATCTTTGTAAGGGTACTACAACTAGTTAACGCGTTAGGATGTTTATAAAAACCAAAATGCTCTGCCATATGATTGAAAAATCAAACCCAACATCACACAAATACAAATGCACAGTGCACAGTATGAAAGAAAAAAAATGGTTGACTGGTCTTTGATCTCGGATAAATGATTCTGACAATGAGTGAACGGTATTAATTTGTACTTTCAAAGAATCATTTATCTTGCGAATCAACGATCAACTACACTGTAAAATCTACATATGACATTTTGCCTAACATCGGATTTCAATAAAAACTACATTTAAATTTCATCTTCTATTTTTTAGATCTTACTTGCGCCTCTTAATTCCATGCATCGCTTTAAACTGGAGATTTTTGCAGAGAAAATTTCCGCCATTTGCTCCAGAGTCGCCGCCATTTTAAGTTTGGCGCCAATCTTGTTAAAATGCGACCGCTTACATAACAATACTACAGGCGCAGATTGATCAGATGGATTCCCATGGCCGCGCACGGGCTCACGCAACAATAGCAAACGAAAGAGCAACAATAATGTTTGTAAACACACTTGATCTGCTACAGGGCTATTTTTCGCTTACAGCCACAGTTTTTGAATAAATTTATTGAGGCACACGTAAAATCATTGCCTTACACAGCCCCGAGCTATTTTCTTGGCCAGCTAATTTGCAGCCTCTTGCTGTTCTGAGAGGCTATAGGACTTCGAAGAAAACTTGCTTACTGAAGCGTAGTCTCTTAGTGGAATTGAGCCTTTAACAGTTCAAAAGCTTTACTAGAAAATAAATTCGTCAGAAGGTTAAGCGAAGATAGTGTTTTCAACTATCTTTTTTTCTGCGCCTCGATCATCCAGTACTCGCCCATTCGAATTAAGTACATCCAATATTTAGTTCTAGCAAATCAAGCCAATATCTTTAATGGATCTCGTTCATTTCTTGTTTTCTTGGTCACAATCAAGGATTCATATCGTGTCAAGTTCATTTTTACCTCATGGTATCATTTGATATGACCTCTAAGAGAGACAAGGACAGTTTGTCTGCGTGTGCTCTCTAATTAGATTTTCACCTGTCTTTATGTAAACTGTCCTTTCATAAGTACCTAGCTTTCGAGATACTTTTGGTAGAAATATATCATCTGTCTACGAAAAGGTTATTCACGTAGATCACTCGAATTCTCGAACACCATCCCTTGGTTTCTCAAGGGAGCGGTCATAACTTTTCGTTTTGAGAACACTGTGATGAAAATAAGCAAAGACAAAAACAAAAGGCTGCCTTGTTTCATTGTCTATTCTAAACAAGACAAGGGCTCTCTTGTCATTGGGAACCTGTTTGTAAAAATAGAACAGATGGAACTTTCTATGGCCACACTCAGCTCTTTGTAGAATAATCAAATTGCGAAGCTAATCACTAAATGTTATACTAGTGAGGTGTATCTTCAAGCCTCCAAGAAAGTTAATCTTCACTGTCTTCTACTAATATCATGCACGCTTTCCTTATGTCTCAGCAAGTCAAGTCGAGAATGGACGCAGTGAGAAAATTGTACTCCCTTGGACAACAACACGACACATTGACAGAGAAGGAAAATTAGAACGTTAGATGCAGCTAAAAACCTTTTTATCTATCATCATGTGGAGCCGTCATCTTTAGAAAATGGGGTTAAAGTTGTACAAAGCACCTTTATCTGTGAATCTAATAGTTGCGACTAAAATCAATACAACCTTTGTTTTCACACTTTTGTAGTGGAACTGATGCGGACCCTGATTGAAGCAACACCGAACTGACCACCTAAAAATGTTTATGGAACTTTGTTTAATCCTTATTTTAGTCATAAGCCGGAGACAAGGCTGTTGTATAAACAGAGAGACCCTCCTAACTCACCGGCTCAGATTTGTTGATAAAAAAAAAAAGGACATAATATATATGACTTGCAATAACCTAAAGAACGAGCAAATGTGTTTAAGCCTGAGGCAAAATAACCAACTTCTAGGCGCCAAGGAAATATCGAGCCAAGTAGCGTTGCTATGCTATCTTCGAACCAGTGAAGGAAATACTGTCGACATTCCCTCTTAAAATAGTTCATTTCCTCCTCAGCTCTATTGGAAGCTATTATCGTTTTTGACACGGCGTCAGAGGTAAAGGATTTAAGGTTTTGGCTTGAATGATCGCAGAGCTAACAATCATTGTAGCTAATTGAACCTTGTCTAGATCAGTCAAGAATTATTGGCCCCTTGCTGCTAAGTCACTCAAGATTTTTTGACGTGTCTAATTAAGTGTATTAGAAAGTCTACACTGTTTTCTATTTTTGGCTGTATTAATAACAAGGATGAAATTTCCGATGTTTGCGATCAGCTGGAAGCGAAAAGTCGATTATGGCGTTACTGCTTTTTTTAAAGGTTACCTTGGTAACAAAAGCTGCGAAGGCGATCCTATATTTTTTCAAATGAGTTGATCTTCTAAAACCGGAAGAAAAGCGCTACTTACTAAAATAAGTTCGGGACTTAAAATGCAAAGAAGATAAATTATGTCTGAAAGCAAACTTAGCGGAAGAATCTTAAAGAAAAAAGGCACGCAATGTCAATAAATCGCGGAAATGGTATTCATTGAAAGTAAATTATTCCTTCATAAGCCCCTACTTTAAAAGTGTTCAAAATATTACGACACCTCTGATAAGCACTGGTAACAATATTGCAAGGGGGTTTTCAAAACGAATTAATTAACACAGGCAATCTTTTGGAGTAGCTTTGTTGGTGAAAAACGACTAACAGTAAAAATTTTCGCTCATCCAAGTGAGCACTCAAAACTGATGCAAAAAAGAGATGTTCAAATTTTTTGCCCTACAACAAGGACATTCATAAACAATGTATAATTATATAGATATATATCAAAATACAATATAAATATGAAGTGGATTAATGTAAATTTTCGATCTATATCTATATATCTAAACTATTTTATATATGGAAATAGTATTTGTTTTAAATGATATACTTTGACAAGCGAAAATGTAATGTGTTTTCCTAGTAAACTGATGCCACAGAACCTACATTCTTATGTCAAAATGAAGTTGTTCGAATATTTAGATAGTTTATAATCTCATTACTCCATATGAAGACTTCATAACTTTCCAATTCATCATTTACATTTAGGCTTAAATATTAAGCACTCTGTAGAGCAATTTTTTTCATGCAAGGCATGCTTTCGTAAAAATTTCGCGTTTATTCGCTCGTAATTTTGATCATGCAAGGCATCCTTTCGTAAAAATTTCGCGTTTAGTTCGCTCGTGTTTTTGATGAAAAAAGTAGTTGCATATTACATAATTGGATAACTAAGTCTAATCAGTTTAAATCAGCGCTTCGATGTCAACTCGAACGCTGTTACTCATAGGATACAGAGCCAACCCAGTTGGCTCACTGTTTTTACGTTTTCTCATCGGTAGTCGGGAACTTGAAGTGTAAGCCCTTGCGCGTTTGTTGTCGTATGATTCTTTGCCAAGGCTACTCAGTTGGATGCTACTGAATGCTCTTTGTTTCGTGCTTCTGATTGCATTGGGGTTTTTGTCTTCATCAGACACTTCAAGACTGCCACTAGCTTTGTTGTCGTTTGTATCTTTGCTCATGCCACTCAATTGGACACTGCTGTTAGCTCTTTGCTTTTTAGATTTCTCTGGTACGTGGTTCTTGTGTTTATCAGGCAACTCAACATTGCTGCTTGCACGTGGCGTTGTGCTGTTGACTTCATTGGCGTTTTGGTCCTTGCCATGCAAGTTCAAACTGCTCCTTGACTTTGGTTTCGCCTTTGAAGCCCTGTCGAGTCCATGATAGAATGGGTCTTTTCTACCATCGAGTGAATCGAAAGCCGAAGGAAATGAAGCGATGGACCTTCTTTGCGTAGCTGACGGCTTATTAGATTTCACGCTTTTCTTTTGTGATCCATTTTTGGCGTCTTCGTTTCCTTTTGGCAAATAAAACATTGGCATTGAAGGGAATTTATAAAGACGCTGTGAATTTGAAGCCCCTTGCTGCGGGTTACTCGACGAGCGCCCTAAGCTTCCCTTTTCTCCATTTTCCTTAGAGAGCGCGAACTCTTTCGCAAACCACTCAGCTTCTTCCGCAGTACGAGCGAAAAGGTAACGCGAGCCGTGTTCGTCATCGCTGGCCTCAGAATTTGCGCTTCCTTCGTCAAATGATGACCCACGCGAGTCAGCGAGAGATTTGGTTAAATTAGCCTCGCTGGTTTGGTTATTTTCGTCCTGCGAGCTAATAACCACAGTAGGTTTAGTCCCTGAGGACAGAATGGATGGTGAACCATTAGATTCGGTTGTGTTCGCTTTTTTCCTCGTGGGCTGAGGTGCTTTATCGTTGATGTTTTCCTTTTCCGCCTCCTCCTCCCGTACGTTTTGTTTCTTTTTGTTCGCTTGTCTTACGCATTCCACGGCAAAGGCGGACAGATCAGCATCTTTGAAATTCAAATACTGTCTCATACTTTCACGTACCCTCAGAGCACTTTCAATTTTTAGAGCGGTCTCATCCGGAGCAGTGTGTCGTTTTAGCAAATTCGGGCGCAAAGGTTTATTTCCTGTACTCTCCCGGGCTCTACTTTCCAGCGATTTAGAGGTCTCAGTTCCATTTTGTCCTTGAATTACCTCCGTTTTACTTGAGTGGTCTTCAGTGCTCGTAACTGCGGAAAAATGTTTTTCGACTGAGTTTTTGCCTTTTGACGAGGTATCATCGATCAATTTCTTGTTGACGCTTGCGGCTATTTTTACTGCGCCGTCATAGCCATTTTGTTTAGGAAATTGTTCAATAAGGGTTTGACATAGCAAAACTTCCTGCAAATCAACACTCCTACGGCGGAGAGTTTGTGTAGGTGGTGGGCCACCATTATTAGTCATTTCACGATTTGGTTTACTCGACTTCATGAAAATGAATTCATCTTCATCTTCTTCCATCGGGTTTTCTGGTATAACGTCATTTGTTCCTTCGGAGTTGTCACTCATCGACTTCACCTCGTCTGCAGTGTTGACACAGGCGTCTGGGTCGGAACTTGTGCTGTTGGCTCTGTTCTGATGCAAGTCAGACTTGCCAATATCTTTAGAAAACGTGCTTAATAAATTCTGGCTGTCGTTTGTAATTAGTTCCTCGTTCTCTCGTTGCGAATCATGCCTTGATTCCCGTCCAGAGCTGGGCGATTGGGTTCCATCCTGCTTGCCCGATCGAACTCCAATGTTTCCCACCAATTCTTTCAGCGCAAGTTCCAGCTCCTTTATCTTCTTCACCTGACTCTCGTTCTTCCAAGATTTTGCGTCTGTTGCTGAAGTCCTTGAATTGGGACTCTCCGGTGGATTGAGACTTTCATCGGTAGAGCTTGCAGATTCCTCGCTAGCCCTCCTTTCTCGCATAGCGGCTATATACGATGCCCGCTCGACCCATTTCTGCAGCCGGGACTGAATTTGTTCCGATAGCTGTTCCAACCCACCACTGGGACTGTTTTCAAAAACAGAATTCGTTGAAAGTCTCTCGCTGTCAGAGTTTGCACTCTCGTCAGAGTATTCCTCAGATGTTTTCGATACCGCACGAGCGGGTCTGTTGCCTTTTGTTTGAGCACGCAACTTGTTCACTTCTTTAGCGTTTGTACTCGTCATGTTCTTTCCGTCTCTGCTAGCCGCTCGAACTTTCCTGCTTCCAGAAACACAGTGAGTTTGATTTGTAAGGCTCAATTCTGTGTTGTTCTGCTTTCGTGAGCTACTGCTGGGATCGCTCGATGACTCATACAACACCATACTGTGACTTAAATCCTTTGGAATTCCATTCTTTGGGTACGAAATAATCTTTTCGTTCTCACGGTCGCCGTTCACTTTTTTGTTGTAGGTGGGAGAGTTAGCCAAGGAGCCCTTACGTACCTTCTTCACCAGAGTTTTACCGCCGTTTAACATCGGAATGGGCGCACTTCGTGTCCGCGAATGTTGAGGAGTGAGTGCGCCATTATTTATTTCAAGCGGGTGCGAGTAATCCATGGTTTCCGTTAACGTTTCTCTGCTATTAGCGGACCGCTTGTCGCGAACGTTTGAACTGGCCCTTCCCATCCATTTTTGAAGCTTTGCTTTCATTCCAGTCGAGATATTTACAGAAGGTGCACTGCCGTAGGAAGAGGCCATTCCGTCTTTGAACAGCTAGACGACAACGGGGTTTACAAATTTCTGTGGCGCATTTGCATTACTCTGTACACAAACCTGTGGGAGGTATGATGTTACGATTAAAATGTGCTTAATGGTTTGTCAATAAAGCTCTCGAGCCATTCTCAAGCCGAACCAACAGATCTAAATGTAGAAACACGTCGTATTTGATCGAGGACGTACCTTTTGTTTTGATCCAATGAAAAAAAGTTGGTGCGCACGCGATCAATATTTATCGGGATCTCGTGCTTGCGTCCAACTGGGCTGATGTATAAAGTTTCAAAACTATTGTAATGAGAACCAACCTGCGCACTTGTCGCGATATAGAGGATCAAATAAGATCAATGGTCATCACGCAATTTCATCAGACGAAGACGTTCTCAGCACACGACATGACAAAAATGGTGCAAAAAATTGGTTTTACCCTTTAAACACTTCAGTTCACCCACGTCATTTATAGCAATTAAATCTAAGTCATTGTTTAAAAGTATGTATCAATTCTTTGAAAATGCAAATGTTTGAGCAATATAGTCTTCAGCCCTGACCCCAACTAGACCTGTTGACTTTCATTGGTCCAGAGAGTCTCTTTGTTAGTTGAATTAACTGTTCGGTTTTAGATAAACCTCTGTTGTTGGGGTCTTACCTGCTTATTACGCAAAAAGAATTTTATGAAATAAACTTATAAAGAGCAAAAAAGAAACAAAGGTCGCAGTTCGGCATCAAAGTGCCTCTTATTATTAGTTTCATTTAGCGATGGATGCATCCTATTAGAGACGTGTCGGTTCAAATGACTTTATCATCATACTTGTGACACTTTATTGACCGCAAGATAATCAGGTCACAATGTTGTTCATTTATCATAATGCTCACGACAATATTCAAATCAAGGTGACGTCCCAAAAGTCCCGAACTCATAAAAAGTTTACAAAACCCGAAGATTAAGGAAAGAGACTTCTTTTGCAGAGATTTAATTAAGAGTTTAACTTACTTACAATGCCGGTCCGGCAAAGAACAATTTTGGTGTCAGTTCGTTAATCCATTTTGCTCAACAGAAGTTCGCTTCTAATTATTCAAAAATATAAACCTCTTTCTTTTGAACATTAGAACTAAATTGGAATATCTTTAAGTGCGTTAATTAGTTGACATCGAAAGCGTTGTTTACTTTTAATCAAACTATGGGAGATATTTATTTCTTCTACTCTGCTACGTCGCATGAACTCTAGTATCTGGTGATTTTGAAGCGCCGCTCGTAGGCTCCTTGTGTTTCTGTTTTCATATCTTTTTTGGTCTTCAGTGTCAGCAAAAATGTATTTTCTAGACGTGTCTTAGCACATACGTGCTTAGTCAAAAACAAAACGCCCCAGGGAACCACGCAAAATGACGTTTTGAAGGGCTACATCAGTTGCCCTATCCTGAAGAAAATTAGAGACATTTAGAGCTTCTGTAACCAGAAAAATATGAGCAACTAGTTCAATTTCTGCCGATTTATTTTTCAGTCGCTTGTACACCTCCGGTTGGGAACAGAAGATGCCCATTTTAGTTTTATCTTTCTGTTGAACGAATTCTAAGGACTGGAAGAAAGTTGGCAAAACTGCGGTGGATAACGATTGTCCGGACTCTACCTCGGCAGAAAAACATGGTTGTTTATCTCTCTTCCGACTCTCTTCGGTTAAAGCATGATTAGCCGGACTGTGAAAGATTTCGAGAGTTACGAAATTTTCTATGGTCCTTTATTTTTTTGTCAATATTTTTCCGGCTCAGTCAAACAAATGAACATCAAGAATAATCAGATAATTTGGACCGATTCAGTACCCATTTTCTGTAATTCGAGAATTATTTTTATGTTCGAGAAACATTGTTATTATTGACGGTTTTGTTCCTTTGAACACTGTAACCTGTTTTGTTTTGTTTGTTTGTTTGTCTGTTTGTTTGTTTTTCATTTGAAACGGTGGATCATCTTTTCCTTAACCGAAACTTTGTTTCAACCACGCATCAATAATTATTACCTCTAAGAGAGCCATTATGCGGGAAATTTTACTCTTTTAAGACCTCTCTTTGTTTTTAACCTGTCAACATCACAGTAATTTGTCAGCGTGAAATCAGAGATCGAGGCGCCATCACATGGTGATAAGGTCTTTGAAATATTATTCGGAGAATCTTGTCATAACACCCACAATCACTCACGTCTGTTTATAAAGTCATTGCAATTTATCTTTTACAACACGTGTTCACACAACAGTTAATCACCGTTCTGTTTGTAATCTTTGTTTGTTTTGTTTTGTTTCAATCTTTTATCACCTGTCAGTTCAAAGTTTTGTGACTTGTCCAAATTCCGAGGACAAAAATTCACTCAATGTTGCAAATGCGACACTGGGACAGCGAAAATGTCTCCCCATTTACAACTCTATACAATTACAAGGCAATTTCCCATTTAAACACTGGGAGTCCGTCGTAATATGATCTAATAATTTATCCTTAAATACTACCTTGGGAAATCTTTTATTCTGTGTGAATCTGAATAAACGCGACGGCCTTGAAAATAGTTAGGACTTCGCTAAAAAAAAAAACAAAACAAACCAAAACAAATACATAACGTTTGTATTATTCATATTGTTCAAAATTCACGGATTTGGAATTTCAACAAAGCCCAGATGAGGCAGTGTTTAATTTGCGATTTTCTTTGTCAATGAAACGGCTAAAAGACTGCATGGATTCTAGGACACTCCGTAATGTAGAGAGAAATAGAAATCAAACTAGACATTTAGAGGCGTTTTATTACTTTTCAAGTAAGTTATCACGGCAAATTGACGTGTTGAAAAAGAATATCGTCTGATGACAACACTGAAACTTTCATCCTATACAGATCTTCTAGTTATATTAGTGCCGTTTGTTAAATAAGCAGACAATGATTTACCTTAATTATTCTATGGGAAATAAATACTTGTCTTCCAACTCTGCTGGAGACGATGTTCGATGTCGACCTACGATCATGCCATAAGAGAGAGCTGAGAACTTAGATCAGATCCTTAGAAACAGAATTCTTTATTTCCACTTCTTGTTATTTCTACTTCTTTACTTCTATCAAATCCAATTAGAGGATTTGTCTGTTTATCTCTTAGTCTATTCAAGCAAAAATTGAGAGAGGCTTTAGCGCGGTTTTTTTTATGCAGTAACTTTTGTTAGAAAATTAATTGACAATGCTGACACTTTCTCATCCCACGCTTCCAAGTCCCACTGAAAAGTAAATTTAATGCATTTCCGCTGATAAAGTGCTCATCCCTTCCATGGAATGAAAGTCATAGTAGTTAATTCTCCTTTAAAGAGATATAGGAAGGTGGTATAATCTGACCGGGAAAGATATGGAGATATAGGAAGGTGGTATAATCTGACCGGGAAAGATATGGAGATTTTCGGTCACGGTAGACATTTCAGGTTGAAGATAAATAAATATTGTTTCTCGATAATATTTTTCCTCGGCACTGAAAGATTAACAAAAAAAGAAACAAACAAACAGATAAATGAATGGATGTATAAATACATTTTACGTAAGTAAATGAATTAACGAATCGAAAGATAATTAAATAGAGGAAGGGATAGACACAGAGTAAACCGCCTCGACGAAAATCATGCACTACGAGTGTTTCTGGGCCATTTTTGGAGCCCTCCATTTAAATTCATGACTTTCATTAAATAAATGATACAATTTGAGAATAAACAATGCTATTTGGCTAAATGAAAATATTAGCTACTTCGTCCATGAATAGCAAATTTGAAATCATGTTATTTGCCAGCTCGGACTATGGGGTATGGATCAGCTCGTAGATTTTGCCGTATTTACCTCATATTGAGAACAATTGGCAAACCTTTATCCATATTTTTTCAATCTAACATTTCATTCACGAGCCTCCAACACCGAAGTATCCTTGTCGCTGTTGATTTAAAAGACCTCCTGGAAGACATCCCTTCCTGTTTTGGCGGCTTTCGGTAAATTAAGAGACAGAAATAACGTCGTTAATATACTGCGGTCAAAATCAAAAGTTTTGAAAATGACAGAGCTCACTGTTCAATTTTGATTTATATTTGTGTCATAGCTCACAATAGCAGAGGTTTGCGTCCCAATATCTAACTCAAACGAGGCCAGTAATTGACATCGAGAAGGTTAGACACTGAAATCAATATCGTAGCAAATAAGTTACAGTTGGGATACTTGCATGAATCACAAAGTGCGAAAGACAGCCCTCATTATTTTCATTTTCATTTGGCGGTGAAGATTATATTTACGCTAACTTTGAGTTTTTCAGCCTCCAGAGTTTACGTAACATCACAATTTTCCTCCTACGAAGTTTGGATTCTGCGGAAATTTTACGCGTACGTGCTTTGGTTCAGCGGAAATGGGCATTGAGCGGAAAAACAAATGAAGTAAAATTACGGTCTTCCCTCGGATGAAAGAATGTTAAATAAGCGCAAGGATTTATTTTGAGATAATGAAAAACCTTTCCAGAGATTATATTCAGAAATGATATATATCCAATTAATATCAAGTGGTAAAGAGGACAAAGAAGGCTTTGTAAACAATGCACGTTTGGAGTCACGAGTTAAGTCGCGTGCAAGACAAGTACCTCACATGCATACGGGCGGGTCGATATTGAAGTTATCACCCTTGACCGCCCAAACGTGATGTCAAATGTAGGTATTTAGTGTTTATACGAGAAAACAATAGTGTGTATATTACATGAGCGGAATGCGATCGAAATATTAAACATAAGGTTGTTTTATGTCAACTACAACGAAATTGGGTTAGACTATTTCACAACAGACTGGGCTAAACAATGCATCAGTTTTCATAAACACGCAACGAAACACAATATCATCATAAGACACATTTATTTGAAATATCTGTAATATGTTCATGGTTCAGTTCTTTATGAATTGATTTGTAAATAAATTGAAGTCAGAAATTTGTGGGTTTAAGCGTCAGCTCTCTGGAATAAGGCCAGTAGCTTTTTTTAAACGAAATCTTTGGTATATCCGGGTACGTCAGAAAAGGGCATTGGTCAAGTGAAAGTTGTCCGAGATGAGGTAATTTTTAAAAAGACGTTTTTACAGCCTATAGCTGATCGACAGAATGTCAATCAATTTGCATGCGTTAGTCTTGATTCCCAAAGAAGTTAAGTCCACTTATATAGACTTCATGTTTCGTTGAACAGTGTTATTCGCTAGTCGTAGACAAGCAAAACGATGAAAATCATGGGTTAGAAGGCGTTCTGAGCAGATTGTTGAACAAATATGTTGGATTTTTCAAATGTTTTAGTGATTCGTTAAATCTAATATAGACTTGAAAGAATATACGCCAGAGGGGAAAAATATGCAGCGTTCGACTTTTTCTTTTGTCAAGGAGGCGTGTTATCAATCAAAGGTTATCATGATGGATCGACACAACTATCAGAAAATGTCAGCAATTCTATCTTTACGCTGATTCATAGAATCTTTGGCTGTAGTTCAGGGGTTATTTGTCTTGGCAGACTACAAAGAGAACGATTGTTGCGAAGGTCAATGTGGAATTGTTCAACCACTAAATGCTTTCAAGTCCATTGACTTGGAATTTTTTTTCGTTTTTCTCAGTGTATTTCAGGCAGAAATTATCCTAGATGCTGACCCCCGAATCAGTACAATGTTAAAACTAACTCATATGAGGCAGGCTGAAGGCAAAACAGTTTAAAACAAAATAATCTCTCAGGTAAATGGACGCACTGCCGAGAGTAATTATGGTATGACGAATAACTGACGTAAAAGGTTACGCAATCATCTGTAATTCATACCCAGCCATCGTGCTGCTGGTTAATGACACTTGCAAGAGATGTTCCTTGACTGTTAATTTGGAAATTCCACTTTTGCTCATTTCGAATTTCAAACATCGTTATTAAACGTATTATTAAATGATTGCCGGGAAAAGGCTAAAGCGTTCCAACGAACGTATCAACTTTGATTTCATAGCATCGTTATGTCGAAGGGCACAATCCTTGTGAAGTATGTTGCACAAGTATGTCGCACAAGTACCGTACACTCTTCACAGAGTCACAACAGGATTGAATACTGATTGTGTCGAGATGCAACTCAGTTCCGTAACGCAGAAGTCCTGTTTACCGCCACAATCCTTGCGTTAACATCACTGATGGAACTTTTCCACGTCTGAAGCCTCCACCTTATAGGAGAGTGGTAAGACAATAAAGGAAGACGCTATTTTATGAAGTGCATTTTCTTTTAATTGACATACTGTATATTGGTAACCAATAGATTACATAATCTTTTGTGGTAACTTCGTGGATTCAAATACCCAGCCGTAACAGAAATAACAAAGATAATCTGGATTGGCAATGAGCTTATGCAATGGCGTAATTTTTTTTTTTCAGAAGGTACTCAATCAACTCAGTCTCTTTATTTCATTTTGACTAACCAGGCGTTTCTCTGAGATCACGCTAAGCGAAAAATAACGTTTAAGGCTACCCTTCTTTTGCATCGTCGCAACTTGATTACGGACTCATTGGACGGTTTTATAGTTTCAAGTAGATGACTTCGAATCAAATGGGAGATATTTTGAAAAAGTTCTTAAGTAGATGCACCTGGTTCAAGTATTTTATAAAACTTTCGTCGAGTACCTGACATATTATCTCTATAGGATTTCCAGAAGGGCGAGTAATGTTTTTCTACCGTTAAATAATTTTTTTATAAGGCAACGAACCAGGTCAACATAAAATCTAGAAAGGATTTTTGAGTTTATTATTTAAAACCCTACACTGATCAGGTTGAAAAATTGTGTAAAGAAAACAGGAATCCCTTACGTATTATTGGTTTCGCTCACTTGTTCTAAATGATACAGCCATTCCCACAAAAAGATACGCATTCAAGCAAACAAACTAAACGCAACAGGTCACTAAGGGATGGGGACTTCTTCGATAATCAAACGTGACACTGATTTCCAGCCTGTATGCATATGTCCGTTTGCGTCTCCGAATCCGACACAGTTTCCAATGTTGATTCTAACACGGATTCTCCCCTTGTGGATGTTTTCACAGTAGCCTTCTATTGCCCCGGGTCTGTGGTTATCTTCAACTTCATTTCTTATCCACAAGGTTGTATCAAATTGGACCATTGCATTCTGCACCGTTGAAGGGGATAAACCAGCGGTTACAGCAGTCGCTGCATCCACCCAAGTAAAAGGTTCCCTGGTAAACAACACGAACAGCTGTATCATCTCTTGGCTTGTTAAAGACTCATTCCTATAAATTAGAAAATAGGGGCCAACAGTGAGTCCAATGGAACAAATAATGGAAACGATTCACGAATGTTCATTCCAAAAATTACAAAAAGAAAGCAAGAGGCGAGACTCTTATACATTGTCAACTGTCCTGTTTTACTTAATTTTCAAGTCAACCAATCACATACCTTTATGAGTCCCAAGTCCCGATTGTCGTCACCCCTCCATACGCACTGTTTCCAATTTCTGTGGTTGGTATGAGATCCTTTTGGTCCAACATCTCCTTTAGCACCACGTAACCCTGGCTTTCCCGCCGCACCCTTCTCTCTTTTGGCGCCATCTCGACCGTCACGACCTGGTGACCCGTTATATCCATTGCGACCAGGGAGACCAGGTGATCCTTGAAGACACATGCTGGGATTCTTTGAGATTTTTAAAGTAAATTAGAGGCCACTTAGTTGTATCCGAGTAAAGCTAACAATTTGTTACCTCTTTAGTATTTGTGTTGAATTAGATGTTTGTTAGGCTCAAAGATAAAGTGAAATAAATTGTTGCTGAAAGTGAGACAAGCAAACGTTGGTGTATTTCAATTCTAATAATTTTCTGGCGTGACGAAAACTAGCAGCTGTCACGTGTTAGAATTTTAGTCTCTCCTTGCATCATTTTCTTTCTTTTTACTGCCAGTTTACGACGTAAGCTGGTTATAAAGGAGACCAGTAACATGCTAACAGGACAATTGAATTTTGGAAAACCTTGAGGGTAGTATTTGCTTCAAATGTATTGAAAATAAAAGCTGTCGTCACCAACAGGAACTGAATCACTGTGTTAATCATATCTGCTTCCCTTGATTTTGCTGTTCAAAACGTTATTATAGGGGAACATGATTTTTTTTGCCCCACCACCACAACTACTTTATTTCGACGGGATGATTTCTCTGAGACTAGAGAAGATTTAAAAATAGCGATGGTAGTTTCAGTAAGGACCTCCGACCAATCAGGAAGGAGCATTCGAGTAACTTGCCCTTTGGACCATTACAGTCAAACAGGTCGATTTTCATCACGGCAAATTTTCTCACGTCTCTGTGGAATGCATGCAAGAAGTGCCAATTCATGTAACTCAAAAGATCACAAGGCATACTATAAGATAATTGATCGAGAAGATGAGAGGAAATTATTTTATTTCGTATCACTTTGGCTCTATCGTTAACAATATAAAAGAATCATTCATTTCGTAAAAGCGATGGATGAGTAAATTAGCAAAGGCTCAAGCTCAGCTCAGGCTAGGCCGTGTTTAGTTTTGTGATCAATTTGCTTTGCCAAGCAGTAGAATCTTCGAGTAAACTAAGTAAGGTCTCACTACAGAGAAACAGGATAACTATAGAATGAAGCAACTAAGGACCTTGGCTTAATGCAGCGATCGTTTCATGTTCCTTTCACATTGGCACAATATCATTTTCATCCCCAACCCCCCCGCATACCCTCCTTTCTCTGCAGTTATCAGACTTTTTCACTCCATGATCTCGCTTGACCCTTTCTGTTGGCCAAAAAGAAACGGATTAACTTGTGGCTACTTCGCCTTAGCCTTTTTATTAATTAAACGTTCAGCGCTCAGCGCTTCGCCGATTTTTGTTTCTTCAAGGAATCTTATTTTGAGGGTTCTCTGATAGGAGAGTCAAACTCAAATGCAAAGAACTTTTGTCATGTCACTTCGAAGAATATAAATCTGGCTGCCGTTCTCCACATGCCACAACAGTGTAGCTCTCTAACATATTTGCAAGTGTCTTTTCCTCACACTCCTCTCTTGCTGCTTTATTCCTATAAATTTTTCTCCCGCTTAGAAACAAACAAACAAACAAAGGAAAAACACAGAGAAAAAAGCCAAACTGATCTGCATCACAGGCTGCTGAAGAAGAGTTGATGGTTGGTCAGAAGATAAGAAGATTGAAAAAGGTTCCTAACAAGGAAGGAGTGGATCGATCAGTGATAACGGTAAAGTTCCCTCACCAGCAAACATATTGATTGGTACAAGTTTCACAGAAGACCTCTAAGCGAGGTCCTTAATTCATTTTTGCTAATTGATGATTGTAAGAACTTGGTGAAAAGAAAGAAGATCACTGGATCCATTCGATCCCCCTCCTATGGTTTGACAAAGTAATAATTCACACCTTTTGTGATGTAAATATTAAAAATAAAGTGCTTTTTAGGTACAAGGTTAATCGAAGATGAAGTAACAAATAAAACGCGGCATGATTACGATTCTTTTCACACTAAAAACAAAAAAAGGAAACAAAAACAAATTCAAAACATGTAATTTTTGGATCCTCTTTACTACAAAAAAACCCTTAGTAAAAATACATTATATACTTAAAAACATTAATCTAGTACCGCTTGCCATGTAACTGCCATGTGTCATTTAGCTATGTTCAATCTCGGAGGCAAACCGACAAAAGCAAAAGGAAAAAACATCATTGTGAGCGCGGTACTTCTTCGATAATCAAGCGTGACACTGCAGAGTTCCAACCTGTAAGTCGGTTCGAATTGCCATATCCAGGACAGTTTCCAATGTTAATACCAACACGGACTTTCCCCTTGTGGATGTTTACACAATAGCCTTCTATTGCTCCGAGTCTGTGATCATTGCTATTGTTGTTACTTATCCACACTACTGCATCAATTGGCAGTGGACCTTTGCATTCTGCACCGTTAAAATGGTGACGAACCAGCGCTTACAACAAGTACTACATCCACCCAAATAAATGTTACCTTGGTAAACACCTCGAAGGGCTGTATCATCCCTGGTCTTGTTAAAGATACAAGGTGCAGTCCTCCATTAATAAAGAAATGAATAAAAAGCTAAATTAAAGTGACTAGGTGCAAATCTAATAAATAAAAGAAAAAGTTTCTTGATATTTCACGCCAAAACGCCGAGAAATAAAAAACGACAAGGTATTGTAATATGTATAAATATCATATCTTATTAAACGCTCTCTTACGTGATATCGCTTAATATTTTTTTACGAATTGTGCCGTTTTTCACAATCCCGTAGGGCGATTCAAAATACAAAAAACGAGTAAAAATACTCAGTGATCTAGTGACACTACACAACAAAGGCCTGCTCTGGGACCTCAAGTTGCCTTAACGCGCCTAAAGTCGCCTTACGTCGCCTTAAGTTGCCTTTCAAGGCAACTTAGCGACTCAGAAGTCGCTATTGTGAGTATGAACATACAAAAGTAACCAAAGTGACTATTGCGTTTATTGTAAGGGATTCTGGAACTATTTTTAAAGTTAATGGAGAGACTGGCGCTTACTTTTATTTTATCACTTCAGTCAAATAAAATCGCTGTAAGATGCCTTAAGTCGCCTTAAGTCGCCTTAAATCGCCTAAAGTCGCCCAAAGTTACGGATAGTTAAGAGATTATTATCTAACACGCCAAATTGTTATTTCAGTGCGAGCGAATTACGCGGGTATTCATTTCCGGTTCTCTGAGTGTAAAATATAACGCGAATTATTTGTACCGAGGCTCGTTTTGGGCGTCATTTGTACTCCGCGAAGCGCAGTTGGATAATCAAAGGAAATATTTCATTTTCGTGGAAAGTAAATATCTCCCGTAAATTTAAATCGGGAGTGAATGATAGTGAGACTTATTTAGATATAAAATGTGTAAAGTAATTTCGATTTGAGCCTTACATTTTAGCATTTTTATGTTTGTTTTTTAAGGAGCAAGCTTCCATAGGTATAAGTGTTTGATCTAAAAACTGTTTCCTTTGAACTATCCATCACTTTCCATCACCATCGCATACCTTTAGAGTCCCACGTCCCGACCATCTTCACTCCTCCATACGAAGTTTTCAATTTCTGTGGTCGGTATCAGAACCTTTTGGTCCAACGTCTCCACGTGACCCGGGCATTCCTGCCACGCCTTTCTCTCCTTTAGCGCCATCACGACCGTCACGGCCTAGTGACCCGTTATATATATATCCATTGCGACCAGGGAGACCGGGTGATCCTTGAAGACACATACTGGCCCTGTGTGTTGCTCGAAATGAATTAGAGAAGCCAGTTATAGTCGTTCCCGGCACGGAAAACAGTTTGTTAACTTTTCAAGATTTGTGTACTTTGCTTACGATGTTTGTGAACAATGCCAAGATATCGTCGAAGTATTACTGAAAGTGTGAAATTGAAATTATTGAATTTCACCCTTAGCCCTTTTATGGTGTGAAGAAAATTAAAAGAGAAGTGCTTGCAGCTGTCACGTGGTACAAATGTACCCTCTCTAATCACGTGTCTTTTTATGTCACAAAACAGCTAAGAAAACAGCTGGTAGAAAACAGCTGGTATAAAAGCTAAGAAGATCAGCGGCATGTTGACGGAAAAAAATAGAACTTGCCTAAATAGCATCTTCATCATTACAACAGTAGCTTTTCGCATAGATTTACCAACAACAAATACATTAGAAAGATCCTTTAACACTTTGCTTTCCAAACTCGAAAAGAAAAAGTCAAACCTACGTTATGAGTGACAAGGAGGCAATACTACGCAGTCAGCAAAATTAACGCTTGAATCCACGTACGAAGTAGTTTGTGAGTTAGAGCGAGTCCAAATCAATGTTTCGTCAAGTAGATTTTGGCTGAATATAGAAAATAAGTTCACAGAGTCAGCTGAAAATTTGTTGGAAATAAGTTTTCAACAGAGCCCGGAGTTTCTTAAAGATAAGAGTAATCTCCCTGGTAATGTGACCTAGCTTTGCCGGAACAGAATTATAGGAAGACTATGCCTTGAAAATAAGCGACGACATAAATCTTTTGGCAAAATAGTTTTATGAAGTTGCACATCACATTCAAAGCTGCCAAAGGAAAGGTTGAGCAGAAAATGGGGTTTGCAGAACATGAGATTTCATTTAAGTAAAAATGAACCATTCCGGATAACGTCAGACTCTGACAGGGTTTTTCGTGTGTGTCACCCATGACTTTTATCTCCATTTGTAGATTACCTAACAGTCTATTAACACTGAATAATGAAAATCATCAACAATCGTTGAGGAGTTCAATTTAATAACATACTGCTCATGTTGTAAAGCATTTTCAAAGATTGATATTTTGAGTATTTTTAGGTTTACCTTTTGTTTTATTAAGTCTCGCCTTTTTGCGTCTACGTTGTCATTTTGGTAGATCTATAGTTTTGATCATTTATTCTTAATGTGTGCTTGAACTTGGCTCAGTTTTTACCGTGCTAGACATTTTGGTCGCTTGTTATGGTTGAGGATAACTAGTTTGCTGGGTGGTCAGGTTTGGGTTGGTGAAACTGACCTTGAGTTTTACCCACACTGAATATCCTGTTTTGGAAATTCCCACGGTTAGCTAACCCAAACATGTCTATGATTTTTGTATTTAATACTGGGGCACTCCTTGCTAAAATCAGTAGAAATAAGCAGTGGAGAAAGAGAGACAAAATTAGCTGTAGTAGAAGCAGCAGTATAGGAGAATAAAGAAGAAAATTACAGTCTCAGTACCTCTTGTTAATTCGCCAAGCGAGTGGTAAAAAACCCCCCCACAACACTTCCTTTAATTTGTTCACCAAAGGGGTGTCAGCATGCTTATCTAACAGGAAGGAACAGGTAGACACTTCTAAAACTTGACGTTGAAAATAACAGAAGGAAAAAAAATTCTGCCTCGGCGATAACTTTCGACAGTTTTCTCTGTATAAAAGTTTGATAACGATATGCGTACATTGGTTCGTTCTACTGTTCGCTGGCAACAGGAATGAAAAATATTCGTGAGCTAATTCATTGCAATTCTTGCCCTCAGTTTGAGAAAGTGGAGGGAGAGGTCTCCAATGAGATTTTTCGAGATCCGTTATCTGTGATTTGCGATTGTTTAAAGTACGAGTTGTGATTCTAAATGGACTCGATATGCAGAATTTTATACGGGACTCGGGATTTGGAAATATCACAAGGCGAGGTCAAAAAACATACTCTAGAAAGTTGATAACTAGGAAGTACGGTAACAAGTGAAAATAAGGAACTCGAAGAATCAAATTGCCACGTAGATAAGCCGGAGATTTACTGAACTGCCAATTCATTCGTTACAGCTACGCACGATACATAAGCCGTCAAAGTTCGTTTTAGCGTCTTCGGATTACTAAGTTTTTCTTGTATGAGATGGGTATGGCTCGTTGTTTAGCAATGGCCTTTGTACAGACTGGAAAAAGGTTTTTTTGAGGCGATCTTGGCTCAAAATTAACCGGGTAATAAGACTGCAAAATAACAGGTCTGTGAGATTACTTAAGTCGAGACAGCGCCATGGAAATGCCTCATAGTGCAACATTCACGATCATTTTTCGAGGTAAGGGCCAGTCAAGGCCAATCTGTGGCAACGAGAAAAACCGAATCAGGCAAAGGTATAACAAACAGTTACGTTGAAATTGTCTAATTTTAACCATACCTTGGAGAACGTAGTTGCTTCGAATGGATTGAAAAGATAAGCTGTTGATAGCAACAGGAAAAAAATCACTGTGTTCTTCATGTCTGCTTCTCTCTGCTGTACGGTCCCAAAATGTTATTCTGAGCAAATTCTTTCAGGAGGAGAGCGAGCTTTTTTATCGCACACAATTTCTTACTTTCAACGGAATGATTTCTCTTAGACTGTAGAAGTTTTAAGAATAGCGATTGTAGTTTCAGCGAAGTACTCTGATGAGAATAACCAATCAGAAACTGAGCGCATTCGAGTAACGTTCCCTTTCGGACCAATTATATTCGAACAGGTCGATTTTCATCACTCACTGCATGTGGAATTCAAGAAGTGCTGCTGCATATAATTTGATAAATCACGTAGTGTGTTTAATAGAAATGATCAAACCGATGAGAGGAAGTAAATATATTATGTATCAATTTGACTTGATCGTTCACTATGGAAAAAAATCATTCATTGTGATGAACGAGGTATGAGTAAACAAGGACTGATTCATTGTGTGGCTTTCAGGCTGTGCCGTGGTAACCATGTGACCAATTAGCTAAAGCAATGGAATCTTTGAGTGACCTAAAGGAGGTCTTTCCACTGAGAAACAGGATTAAGTTACACGAGGAACGGAGCAGCCAAGAAAGTTAAAGCTTAGGTAGCAATCCCTTTGTCTCCCTTTCAGATACAGCGGTAGTTGAAAAAAGGCAAGGGGCATTATGGCCTTAGCTCTTCTTAGGCGTTCTCCTGTTGCCTTAGGGGAAACGGTTTAAACTGCCGACAGGTTTCTTAGCTTGAAATATTTTACTGCTCGCTTCAGACCTTTCTTTGAGAACAAGTTGGTTTTTACTTTATCATGTCACTGTGAAATAATGTAAAAACGGCTGCCGTTCGCCCAGCCCTCTAAAATGTTTGCGACTGTTCTATCCTCACGTTTGTCTCTTGCTCCTTTCTTTCCATAATTTTCTTCTGCTTGGCTAAGAAAAAAGAGAACGACTGCATCGCATGTGAGTTTAGCTGCGCTGCGTCGTGAAAAGGTATGAAACTGAGTACGATTTTCATCCCCAAACCCCGCATACCCCCATTCGCTGCGGTTATCAATTTTTTTAACCCATGATTTTGCGTGACTCTTTACGTTGGCCAAAAAGAAAAGGTTTAATTTGTTACGTAGGTTTCTTTGATCGATATATATCAAGTATGCTTTATTTTCACTGCATTATATATCAAATTTACTCCATTTTCACTGCATTAAATTTTGCAGTGGGGTAGGACTAGAAAGGAACATACGAACCATTCGTGCTAGTCCACCCTCCCACCCCCCCCACCCCACCCCAGGGGAGGACATCCATCACACAGTAATCTCGTGTGTGGGAAATTAACGTCTCCTACCCCAACCCTGCAGGAGACGAGACCTCCATTTATTCTTCCCTATCCGAGAAGACTAAAATATCTAACCATTTCTTGATGTTATAGAGAGGTAGCAAATTCTTCGAACCCTCGACCTCCTGCACAACAGTCCAGCGCTCTATCCATTAAGCTAAGCGGGAGGCGGTTAAACTTCTAGTGCTTGGGTTCTGGTTTCTTCTTCGGACAGAGGGGATACGACCTTATTTCTCGCTCTAAAACTTGATTTGGAAGGTTAGAATATAGCAAAACCTTTCTGATGTAAGAATTAAAAAAAATGAAGGAAAAACAGGTTTTTAGGTACAAGGTCAATCGAAGATGAAGTAACAAATAAAACGAGACATGGTTACGATTCTTTGATTCTTTACAAGTAAAACCAAACAAAACAAATCAAAGTGTTGGATGAAAAAGATGAAGTTAATGTAATTCTTGATTCTCTTTTACTGCATACAAAACCCGTTAGTAAAAGAACACGTTATATACTGTTAAATCCCTTTTAACCTTCAATTTACCGGGTAAAAACCTAAAGCTATCATCCCCTGCGTGTAACTGCTTTACTGCTCATGTGAGTCAATCTCTGATGCAAATCGAAAAAAGCAAACGGGAAAAAAATCATTGTGAACGTGGTACTTCTTCGATAATCAAGCGTGACACTGAGTTCCAGCCCGTATATCCGTCCGAGTTGCCATATCCAGGACAGTTTCCAATGTTAATACCAACACGGACTTTCCCCTTGTGGATGTTTACACAATAGCCTTCTATTGCTCCGGGTCTGTGATCATTGCCATTGTTGTTACTTATCCACACTATTGCATCAATTGGCAGTGGACCTTTGCATTCTGCACCGTTAAAGGTGATAAACCAGCGCTTACAACAACTGCTGCATCCAGTCAAGTGAATGTTACCTTGGTAAACAACTCGAAGGGCTGTATCATCACTGGTCTTGTCAAAGGCGCAGTCCTACATAAATAAATAAATAAATAAATAAATAAATGAATAAAAAGCTTAAAGGCCCATTTTCAACCGAGATGCCTTGCGCGCCCAGATCATTTTTCATATAAGAAAAATATGCTATTTTCCTCGAAGTTGCGGAATCGCTTTGATATCTTCTTCCAACTTATTAATTAGGGCTTTCAAAGTTCCATCTTTAATCATGTGCGAACAACAAACTATCGTAGTATTCATATCAGTAAATAGTTTTTAATTCTTACATGTATGCAGGTGAAAAACGTCATTTGAAAAGTTGATGCCACCGAAGAAGCGTTATAGAGGAGGGCCGGGTCTGCCCGACTCGGCAAAGGTTATTCGACCTCGGGAGTCTGTGTATGATTTATGGAGGGCAAGGAAAACAACAATGGTTTCGGTAACACTACAGACAGTGCTTTTGCAGAAATGTTATTGCATTGTTCCTACGATGGAACTAGAGACTCCGGGGAGATTGATTTTTACTTGAGATCCTGAGATATGTATGTAAGCGATCTCATTTGTACAAGTCATTATTCTATAATTGAAATGCGTAAAGTAAATCAGTTTTGGCCAATATTGGTTATTTGTTTATATTTTATTTAGTGTTGAAGCCGAACAATTTCTTTCAACATCAAGTAAGCTTTGTACAAGTTTTATACAGACTCGATTTATGATTTTTCAGTCTCAAATATTTAGCTGCAAATTTGTTTACTGTATTCTTCACCAAATCTTTGTTTTTCTCTTTAATAGTGTTTGTGAATGGCTATCAGAGTTCGCCATTTAACAATAGCGCGATTCCAAATCAAACACAAACGACTGCAAAGGATCTCGGATGAAAATGGGCCTTTAATAAAAAATTAAAAATATGAAAGTGATTAGGTGCAAATCTATCCAACAAAAGGTAACTATTCGTGATATTCCACGCCAAAACGCAGTGAAATGAAAAACGATAAGTTATTGTGGGAAGCAAATATCTCCCGCAATTTTAGAAGTGAATAATAAGGAAACTTCTTCAGATATAAAGTTTGTAAAATGCATGACTTCGATTTGAGCCTCGCATTTTAGTGTACACGATTTTTAAGCAGCAAACATTTAAAAGCATGAGTGTTTGATCTGAAAACTGTTCCATTTGAACTTTCCATCATCATCGGATACCTTTACAAGTCCCACGTCCCGACCATCTTCACTCCTCCATACACACTGTTTCCAATTTCTGTGGTCGGTATCAGACCCTTTCGGTCCAACGTCTCCTTTATCTCCACGTAACCCAGGCTTTCCCGCCGCACCCTTCTCTCCTTTAGCGCCATCTCGACCGTCGCGACCTGGTAACCCGTTATGTCCATTGCGACCAGGAAGACCAGGTGATCCTTGAAGACAAGTGCTTGGATTCTTTGATATTTATAGAGTAAATCAGAAGTCACTTTGTTAAACTCGGTAAGGTTAACAATTTTTCAACTCTACAATATTTGTGTATTTAATATAAATAAGATGTTTTGTTTAACAGTCAATCAATCAATATTTATTTTTGCACTATTTACTAATAATTATCTCTACATTATAGTACATTAAGAAGGAGGGACATAGGCAAACTAAATTACACAAGTAGTGAAAAGCAAAATGTGCGCAGTGACCAAAGTATCTTAAACTTTCGAGTTGGTCACTGCCACAGACAATTAATTGGCATGAATATGTACATTATAGACATTTACATAACAATAAAAAGCAAAAGCAAACTGCACTCAGGAAACAGATTGAGTATTTAAAAGATACATTTTGTATTGCTTGTAGGCCTTTTGCAGCTTGTAGGCCTTAATTTTGCAGCTAGAGAAAAGTTTTTCTCATTTAAAGGGGATAGATTCCCAGATTTTTTGAAGTGACGAAAGCAAACGTAATAGTACCATAGTTATTACTTGCTCTTGGTCTGTAAATATTAAAATTTGTCGCAAATCTGGTATTGTGGGTATGAACCTCAGAAGCTAGTGTAAGAGTTCCAGAAAATATCGCTGGGATGTTTGTGGCGTCATCAGACTCAAAGACAAAGTGGAATTAGTTGTCGCTGAAGGTGAGACAGACAAAAGTTGGTGAATTTCAATTCTGTCACGTGGTAGAAATTTATTCTCCCCATCTAACATTTTCTCTCTTAACTTTTTATAGTCACTTTACGGCGTACGCCGGTTGTGAAGGACACCAGTAGCATGCTAACAGCACAATAAAAATTGGAAAAGTGTGGAGCGTTTACAAAAACGAAATCATACACCACTATAATCTGAAATTCAATATTCATATCTCGTTGCTACTGTTTTGTAGGAAATTACAATCATTACTCTAGAAATAGAAAGACATCACGCTAACAATCTCACTAATTCTCACTATACACAATTTTAACATCACATTAGGCGGAAAATTCTACTAGAGCCTCAAAGTTCCTCTCCTTTATTTAATGCCAATATATTTAAACGGATACAAGTAACAAAACTGAATGCTGTTGCCACGATGTGGAAAAACGGTTAAACGGAAAAAAATCACCCTTGAATCCGCGAAAGAGAATAAAATGTAGCCAGTCCAATTCAGTCCTACGTCAGGCAAATTTTGACTTAGTACGGATTGTTGGAAAAAACGTTTAGTGTTGGTGATCTTGAAGGCAGAAAATTATCCGTTTTACAACAGAGTGCCGGTGCGCGTGTTATAATCAGGCTAAAACTCTATGGAGCCATTTTAAGTTCAGCCAGAGAAACGGAGCGGCCGTTTTATAATAGTTAGAAATTCAAAAGTCAAAGTAAGGTGGACGTAAAATTATCTCGAGAAAGAGCTAATTGATGTACTGGCGATAAATCAGGGAATGAAGCCCTATTTAACTGACAATTGAGAATCATCCTTAATGAATAATATTTACCACTTCCAATGGGAAAAAATCTCAAATTCTCAAAGAAAGTCGAGTGACCTTGAGCCATATTCGAAATAAAAAATGTTATTAGTGGCTTGCTATTCCTTAACCTTTACCTTAGAAGAAGATAAAGTGGTGTTTCCTTTAATGCAATCGACGACCAAAGGAGTCAGCAACCACAAGAACAAAGTAACAGTATTGAACATTATCACTTCCCTCAGAGCTTCCCTTCCGAAAGCTTTCTTTTGTTAAATTTTTAAGCGTGGAAATGAAATTATGATGAAGATATAGAGCAAAGAAAGGGTGAAATATATGAACTTCATATATTTCATCGTATCTGATTTACTTGGTTCTGTTAGCAGGAGATATACAGGAGAATCCAGGGCCGGTGACAGATGCTTGTGCTGTTTGCGCTAAAAGATGCCGAAAGAATCAGATGGCGATACAATGCGATTCATGCGACAAGTGGTTTCATGTTAAGTGTATCAGTATGAAGAGAACGGAATATGATGAACTTTGCGAACCTTCTCTGGCTTGGGAATACATAACTTGTTTATCACCTGGCTTTGATACACCGGTTCGCAAGTCACATGAAACAATTAACACAGGAGTAAAAGAAGGAAAGCCCAGTGGAAGGATAAATAAAGATCTTCAAGCAAATCTTAAGAAGAGAGGAATGAAATTTGCTCATGTAAATATTGCAACTTTGACGGGACACTGTGCCGACGCCGAAGTACTAATGGAGAAAGCAGCATTGGATGTGTTTGCGGTGACAGAATCGCGTCTGGATTGTACATTGCTCGATAGTAAGATATGTCCTTCGGGTTATACTTGCTACAGAAAAGATAGAAATCGAAATGGTGGTGGTTGCGCCGTTTTTCTAAGGAGCAAATGGGCAAGCAAGCGGAGAAGTGACTTAGAATCTGACTGTTTAGAAATGGTATACGTAGAAATATGTCCAGAAAAAGCTAAGAACACGATATTTGTTGTGATGTATAAACCACCGAGTATGAATCACGAGAAATTTATCTTAGGCCTGGAACAGGAGTTTCTCGCTAAATTGGACGACGAAATGGTAAAGGATTTGATCATCATTATGGGAGATTTCAACGCGGATGTTATTGCCCTGAAACCATGCAATAATACCAGAAAATTAATGCAAACGACTCGTCTCCATGGTCTGAGTCAACTCGTCAAAGAGCCCACACGCGTGACGGAATTCATAAGGACGGCAATTGATCTTGTGTTTGTTAATAACACTCACCGTATTGTCTCGCATAGAGTCCACGAATTCGGAGAAAGTGATCATTCTGTTACTTTCGTAGTAAAGAAAGCCGGAGTTTGCAAAGCTCACGTGGAAATCCGCGACGTAAGATCTTTTAAACACTACAATAAAAACCATTTTCGGAAAGACATTGCTAGCGTTCCCTGGAGTGTTATAGAGTCTTATGACGATATTAATGATGCTGTAGTCGCCTGGAATAACCTTTTTGTTGATGTTGCAAACCAGCGTGCTCCTTTAAAGAGAATTAGAACAAAACATGCGTCTAAACCTTGGATCACTAATGATCTTAAAGAACTGATGGCTGAAAGAGACTATGCATTAAGAGTTGCGAAGAGATATGGCAATCAGGAACAGTGGAATGAGTATCGTAGATTGAAAAACTTTACGAACAGAAAG